CGCCTCTTCCTTCACGCTGTCTCCCGGGTACCACCCCAGAGATGGAGCCTTTATTGACCTGACGCCTTGCTGCCCCTGCCAGTCTCCTGTTAGTAGCAGAGCCAGACTCCCACTGAAACCAGTCACAGTGCAGAGGACGAGGTCCTAACACACCAGGCCAGTTTGCTGGGTAGGCATTGAGTGCCTCCTCCATGAAAAATGGATTAGTGATGCAGTAGTTACCACCATCTGAATCATTTTCTAGGAACAAAGCAAACCCCAAGGCTTTCTTTGGAAAAGACATTTTTTTTTTTTTTTTTTTTTTTTTTTTGTGTATCCCTGGTTATCCTGGAACTCACTCTGTAGACCAAGCTGGCCTCAAACTCACAGAGATCCACCTGCCTCTGCCTCCTAAGTGCTGAGATTAAAGGTGTGTGCTACCACCGCCCAGCTTGGAAATAGCCTTTTTTTTTTTTTTTTTTAATAGTTTAGCACAAGGTAGCCAACTCTTTGACAAGGTAAGTATATTGTGATCAAAAGCCAGATTTTCGTGTGCAGTTTTGTCACCCAAATTTGAGCAAAGCTGTTTTAATAATTTTTTTTTTCCTGTTAACCACAACTACACCCAGTTGCAGACACAATGAATGTAAATCTTTAGCCAACATGTTATTTGAGACATTCTTTGAGGCTTGGGTCTGAACACTGCTTGTTTCATTAAGTTCTTGACACCCTGCTATTCAGCCAAGTTAGTCTAACCTCAGTCTTAGTTAGGCATGTCTTAACCTGGAGGGCCAAGGCCCATCTCCGTGTTGAGTCAGCCCCAACATCCCACCCAGGAAAACCCTTGAGCAACTAGAGGCTTCCCAGTTCTGCTGGCGTGGCCAATGAAAGCTTCGTGCGACTTCGTGTCAGCTTTCAAGAAACATGCAACTTCGTGCCAGCTTTCAAGAAACATGTGGAGAATGACTGGTTTCGTTTTTCTTAGCATCTGTAACCAGTTTCCTAGAAGGAAAAAGAAAAAAAAACGTCTTCATGACATCAGTCAAATCTCTTTAGGGACATAGGGTTCCTGTTATGCAGCCTAAATTCAGTTCATTTAGCCTTTCTTATTCCCAGAGTACCTGGGGAGCCTCACTGGAAAGAGAATCTATAGATCTGTAGAGCTTGCTGCTTGTCATGTGACTGCTTGTGAATGGGTCTCATTAAACCCAAAGTGACTCCAAAAGCATGACCTGTGCCTGACACTCTGGTGACTAACCCCCCCCCCCCATCCTGCTTTGTAAGTTGTTCCTGTGCCAGCATTTCCAAAGTCAAGGGGCTAGTTTCCCATTTTACCATCATGTCTGAATCACGTTTTTAAAAAGGGTTTATTTGAGGAAGATGTTTCAAGCCATGAGTGCAGCATGCTTCTGGTATGGGTCCGTTTGTGCCCCTGGAAACTTGATGCATGCAAACCTTATGCCTGAGATTGAGAACTGTCCTTCATTTGTCCTGGTGATCAGAGAGTGAGGTAATTAGCAGAGAAAGGATGGAAGGGGAAGGTCTTCCCCTGGCCTGAAGGGAGTAGGCAGCTTGGGGTCTGCTGCCCCTTGCCTCTCCGCCCTCCTGCCAAGGACAGCAGTTGTGGGCTCTGTGGTCATGAAGATGAGTAGTGCTCTGTACTGAGAAACTGGGGTTTTCCTCTTTCACAAACTTCCCAGTGCATCTGTGCGTACATGCCTGCTGCTCGCCAAGTGTAGGAAGGGCAGCCTGCATGGTGAGGCCCCACTGCAGCGTGTAGGGGCTCCATCCCAGCGCATGGCAGAGGAGCGCTTGCTGCAGCAACATGAAGAAACAGTGTGTGGATCATCTGCAGAATCGCTTCTGGAACTAGATGGCAGAATGTCTAGGATAGAAAACAAGAATAGAAGGTTCAAGGCTGAGTAAGCTTCTGCCTTCTTTTTTTCAATATTTGAAATAATAGTATAATTACATTTCTCCTTCCCTTCTTCCCTCCAAAACTTCCCATATACATCTCCCAGCTCTCCTTCAAATTCATGGTCTCTCTTTTTTTTTTTTCTTCACTATTTGTTATACATGATATGTGTGTGTATGTGTTTGTATATCTGTTATATTTAATATATACACATATATTCCTAAATATAATCTGCACCTTCCATGTAATGTTACTTACATGTATGTTTTAGGGGCTGGCCAATGGACACTGGACAACCGGTTGCTGTGCCCTTCCCTGGGAAAGGTTGTCTCTCCAGTTCCCAGGTTTCCTCAGTTGTGTATAGTTCTTTGTGTAGGACTAGCCTCGGGTCATCTCCCCATCCAGTGTGGCATGTGTGTTGTCATTCTTATTCCACTCATGTGTAGGCGGCAGTCATGCTGGTGAGGCTTGATGGGTGTGGCTTCTGACATTCCTTGGAGACACAATCTGCCAGCAAACTCCCTGACTCTCTGGCTCTTACAGTCTTTTTACTCCTTCTTCTGCAATGATCCCTGAGCCTTAGGTGTGGGAGTGTTTTGGTTATGTCTCCATTGGGACCAGGCTCCAGAACTCTGTGTTTTGCTTCATTGTGGTTTTCTGTCGTGGTCTCTGTCTGTTGCAAAGAGAAGTCTCCCTAGTGAGTGGTGAAACTACACTTATCTGTGGGTATAAGGACAAGTGTTTGAGGTTGTTGTGAGGTACTGTGCTGGTTTAGTAAATTGGTGTTTGACGAGTCCCCTCCCATGACCATGACATCACTAGCACTGAGTAGTTAGGTTTCTAGGACAGGAGACACAGGGCATGCTTAAAGAGTGAAAAGCAAGCCAGGATTCTCCAACAAAGGTGTGTGTTTGGCTCGGACAGTGACAGTTTTGAAGCACTGCCATCAAGTCCTACCTCCCAAAGTTTAAGTCAACATAAATTTCAAACCTGGCCTCTGCATGGTCAGACAGTCTTTCTTTTGAAATCTAGCCCAAGCTGCCCTTCCAGCTAGCTCAGATAAAAGAAGAGAGCCGCTACTGGAGCAAACATGAACTGTCCAGTATTGTATTTTTGCCGGTATTGACTCCATGCCAAACCTCTATTTTCTATCTAGTTACTAGTCACAGAATGTGTTTTTAATGAAATCGAAACTCTTTATGGGAATAAATGTGTTGCAACCCCCCCCACATACACCAATTTATAGTTTGCAAATTCCCTTGGGGTGCCCTTTTTGACTTTCTTCTTGGTATCCCCTTTCGGGGCTGGAGAATTAAAAATCCATTTTCCGATGGCAAATAATATGCTGTAGACTTAAAATGTTAAACCTTTTCTATATTTAACTTATGCCTCCTTCCATTTTAAATTTCTTGATTAGCCATAGTTTATCTCCATAAAGTCATAAGACTTTAATATATGTGATTTATGTACACAATGTCCTAATGAGTTCTGGTAATAAGACTTTAATATATGTGATTTATATACACAATGTCCTAAGGAGTTCTGGTATCTTGCTAGCCACAGCCGACTCCTCAGCTCCAGCTACCAGAACCACAGAGACAAATTCAAAATAACAAATGGCACCAATAGAGTCTTTAAACTTTTCTGCGAAACTTCACGAGTCAGGCCTTCATCTTCCACATTGCCTTCAACACTCGTCTCTTCCAAACTTCTATAGAACAGCTCAGGAAACATTGAACACTCACTGGTTTCTCTTGCCCAAAGCCCAGGTTTGCCCAAAGTGCCCACAGTCACTGCCCCCAACAACATGATCTCGTCTGCCACAGCAATACCCCACAATCCTTGTACTGATTTCTGTCCTAGTTAGGGTTACTATTGCTGTGATAAAATGCCATGATCAAAACAATTTGGGGAAGAAAGGATTTATTTCATCTTATACTTTGAGGTAACAGTCATCACTAAAGTCAAGGCAGGAACTCAATCGAGGCAAGATCCTGGAGGCAGAAGCTGTAGCAGAGGCCACAGAGGGTGCTGCTTACTGGTTTGCTCTCCATGGCTTTGCTTAGCTTGCTTTTCACTAATTTAAAAAATGCCCTACAACTGGATCTCATGGAGGCATTTTCTCATTTTAGGTTCCTTCCTTTCCAATAACTCAAAATATACAGTATCCTCTTTTAGATATTAACAAATATGCACTATGAATTTTTTAACTTACAAAGTAAGTTTAATAAATGTAACATATTTTTCCATGTCATCCTTGGAAAGTTTCCTAGTATTAATATATTTCAAACTGTACCAATATGGCCTCCTATTAGATCTCCAGCAAATACCAGAAATCTGCCTTTCTCGTTTACATGAGAAGGTAACAACAATGTATTTGTAATTACTTATTGGAAAAAATCACTATAAATGGGCATAATATAAATACAGACTATAAATGAATCTATTCCATTAGTACAGTGGTTCTCAACTGGAGGTCATGACCCATCCAGGGAGTTGTATATCAGATATTTACATTATGATTCATAATAGTAACACAATCGCAGTTATGAAGTAGCAACAAAATAATTGTATGGTTGGGGGCCATCACAGCATGAGGAACTGTGTTAAAGGGTGACTATGTTAGGAAGGTTGAGAACCACTGCCTTAGTGCCCAAATACCTCTAGCTTAATTTTGACTCACTCAACTGATAAATGCCTAGGCTTGCTGCACACCCACCCCAAAGAGATAGTATACAGAAGAAATATATATATATATATATATATATGTATGTATGTATGTATGTATGTATGTATTATGTATGTATGTATGTATGTATGTATGTATGTATGTATAAAAGGTTTTTACTAAAATAAATACGCTGTCTACCTTTTCATCCTCCCCCGTTCCCACAGCTAGGATCAGTGACTCTTGTTGCCATTTCCATCCCAATCAGGAAACTTCAGACTTTGGAGCATGCTTCTAAAGGCACTTTTGTCAGCATCCTGTCCTTGTTGAGCATGCATGTCTTTGTAAATGCAAGCAAAAGGAGAGCAAATGTGAAGCCTGTGTGATGAGGCGCATACATGTGACATTTCACACAGTTTTGTTTTGATTTTTCTACAGGCTGAGATACTGAGCGTCCTCAGCCACAGGAACATCATCCAGTTTTATGGGGTGATTCTGGAACCCCCCAACTATGGTATCGTCACAGGTAGGCACTCACTGTCCATCTGTCTGTCTTCCTTCCCAGTTGCCTGGCTTTTGGTTCCTTCATATGTGAAAATGCTTCCAATCAGGTTCTGCTGAGAATTGTGAGCTACTGTCAGACGTCACTTTTGTTGCCATAAAGCATTAATAAAACTGATTATATCAATATAATTAGGAATGGTGTTTGCACCTCTACCCATGTCTAATTGTGCTAATTATACCTGTGTAGATGCTGTTTAAATGCACCTGCAGCTGCAACGCCAGTATGTAAGGTGCCGTTTAACTAAAATTTCGTTTAATTAGTTGAAGTGAGAGATGTTTTTTTGTAACTCTGTGACCTTTTATAAATTAAGATTTCTTGAGCTGTTCATGTTGTAATTCTTGCAGTGCATTCTAATCCCATTAGAGCTCTTTATTCAGGGCTCTGGTGTGAAGATCATATTTTTCAGGTTTGGTCATTTGCACTACTAACGACCTTGAGCTAAATTATCACGTAGTTGTGAGCAGGAACTTTTAGCAGATGGAAATACTCTTTCTAATACTCTTTCTAAAAATGAACACATGGAAAATTTTGCCACAAGAAACTACAAAAGATACACTTTGAAATATGTTACACTTACAGTTGTTCATCCTAGTGAGCAGTGTTAGGCCCCTGTAACTGTAATGCTGGATTTTATAGTAAATAACTTTGATCAGGTCCTTTATCATGGTACCCCTTTGCTCAAATGAAAACCAAGGAAGAAAATCTTACGAGAGTCACACTGTTTTCTTGCACTATAGTGGCAAGGCCTTGGATGGTCTTTAGAGGAAAACAACAAAACACTCATACTGGAAAGAATGGGATTAGGTGCTTTCTTAGAAAATCCTCATAGAAACCCTGAAAAGTGAGCTAAATAAACTGGAACTCTTTAAGTACCTTTGCCACATGGTCACCCAGCTGACAGCAGACCCAGAGTGGCACAAAGGCCTCACGTGGCTATTCCCTTCCTGCTTGCAAGCCAGGTTTTGGAAGGCTCACTCGTTCTTCATGGGGACAGGTGGCTATTATGTCCATCCTCTGGTAGTCTGATCCACTCTACTCTCAAATAGCAACGTTTGCATCCTTACTAGGCAGAGAGTTTGCAGTCTTTCGTCTGTACTGAAATGGGTGCTTGGCAACGGTTATCTTGAACCTGTGTGTCTTATCATATGTAAACCCCAGAACAGGTTCTGCTGTTATGTGCAAACCTTTGGTGTCAGGTTTCTCATCCAAATTTAAGTTTTCTTCTGACTCAGTTGCCATACAGCCCCCTCTCCCAAGTGCATCATATTTACTTTTGACTGGTTATACTCTCTGTATGGATCTGAATCCCGTTTTCTGATCCTTGTTTGTAGCTAATATTTGTACCTGGCATATATTATTCCTGTCCACTAATAGATTAGAAATAGTGGTGTCTCTTATTCCCATGAAGTGTAATGCTTGGAGAAGGAGATTTTAGCTGAGCTAAGTCAATGGACTTGTCTTAGTGAAGATGTCTATCACTGTGATAAACACCTTGAGGAAAAACAACTTGGGGAGGGAAAGGTTTACTTTACTTTGAATATCACAGTTCATCATCTGAGAAGTCAGGGCAGGCACTCAAGGTAAGAACATGGAGTCAGCAAATGAAGCAGAGGCCATGGAGGGGTGCTGTTTACTGGTTTGTTCCTCATGGCTTGCTTAGTTTGCTTTCTTATACAGCCCACAACAACCTGCCTACAGATGACCCTGTCCCTGCTGTGGGTGGAGTCTGCCCACATCAATCATTAAGAAATCATCCTACAGACTTGCCTACATGTGATCTGATTGGGGCATTTTCTCAACTGAGATTGATTTTCCTAAATAACTCTAGGTTGTAACAACAGATTGATGAGCATGGGGTTTTCCAGTTTCCTGAGGTGAGGACAAAGAGAAGAGATGTGAATCCCTTTCCAAGACTTTACTGTCTGTGCCAAGGAATGTGTGAAGTGTGTTTAGCCACCACACCAGCCATAGCCATTGCATCCAATAGAAAGAATCCTAATCAGTCCTGGGGTGGGTTGGGGGGATGATTTCATTTGCATGCTTATCTGATTAGCCAGGCTTTATTCTCTGTTTCCCTTCTGCACTTGCTCTTCCTACCTGCCAAAATTCTTTGGTAGATTCTTTCAAACACATTGTTTCTTTATGTCTTTGTGTCTGAAAGACAAAAAATAAGCAGTGTTTGACATTAAGTACTTCTTTAAGTTTCTGAATTATGGCATAATAGCTAGCTTTCTTATTGAATCAGTGAGGTTGTTTATGAAAGACTACTTGCCCGTTTTGCTGTTTGAACGGGTATCACTTTAATATGGTTATTGTTATGTCTAGACAACCAACCTTCCTCAGTATTAGGATAAAACCTTCTCAGCGAATGGTACATGTACCAACCATGCCATACTGGGGGCTAAATCATCAATCAATTCAGTGAACTTCCATCATCTATTTCAGATGTTGGAGACTCTGAGAGAGGAAGTTTGAATGGCTTACCTTCATTCAGCTTGAGATTTTTGTTAATTGGAAAGGTTGTTAGAGAAGGTAACTGCTGTAATTCATATTTGAAGGAATGATTTACCAGAGGGATAGAGTAGACAAGTGCTAGAATGCAAGGTGCAAGATGTGTGGTCTGGTCCTGACTCTGCCAAACCTTCATAGATAACTCACTGAGAATCCCTCTGAGTCTCCATTGCCTTGTGTTAATGAAGGGACTGGAAGAGACGCTCTCTGGGAGAGTGTACATGTGTGTGCACACACACGTCTGCATGCATATTTGTGGGACGTTTTCATCATAGACTTATAGAACTGCTTATGAGGGGGTGTAAGAAATCACCTAAGAGACACCTGTCAATTTCTTTCCTTTGGAGGAGAAATGAACACCTCATCCCCCCAGATCTGTAAAGCAATGGAGTAACTAGAAGCTCAGACTCCAAGGTCAAAAGAAAAGATTCTATAATGTTTTTCTTGGTCCTTGGAAATCTCTTACTACTCTAACGTGTAAACCCCCACGGCAGGAAAATAGGGAGATTAGATACTAGAACATATGACTCTTTTGTAGCAAGCCATATCGGAGGAAGGTCGTATTGAAGGGTATCAGACTTGGTCCTAATGTTCCAGAGGAAAAATGCTTTGGGACCCCAGAAGTGTAGATAATTGCATCTTTGGGCTTAGTGGCTGATTGCACTCCTTGTTTACTATGTGTCTGTATTACTTCATCCCATTGCATCAAGAGAATATACTAGTTCTGCATGGCTTGTCAATAGGTCCAACTAAGTCCTCATTCAATTCAACCAGAAAACACATTAATTATAAGTATCCAAACTCATTTCCTTTAGCTTGATTCTGATTTACTTTAATGACAGACACATTAATTTGCATGTTCCGCTATTGTCTGGTCCTTGGTATTAACCAAGTGTCACATTTTATAACAGACTGCAGACATTTGCCCAAATTGATTTCTTCTGCTGGTCATAATCTAAACTAAGGTTTGTCTTGATGGTACTTTATTATAAAGAAGTTTCATGATAATGATATTTGTTGCAACAGTAGTACACTGGGCTCTCCATATGCAAAGGTTCCCCATTCATGGATTTAACCAGCTAAGGAGAAAAAGAGTCTGTGGTGGGAGGGGGGTTGGGGATGGAAAGGAATACACTATCACCACTGTTCGCTTAGTGTCTACATTGTATTTGCTTGAGTGAGTGGTACAGGGCTGATTCTAAGTACCGATGTTCCTCCTACAGTGGGCTTAAGTGCTAGTAAACCTAACATAAGTTGCTAGTATCCAAGACAAAAGTGCATTTACTGCACCTAACCTATAAAACATCATAACTCAGCAACCTCCCTTATAGAATAGGGGAGGTTCTCTTTGTGACCCTTGCAACTGACTGGAGACCATGGGAATATAGTAAGAAACTGCCATATTGCACATGATCAGCAAGAAGAGATCATAATTCCAAGTGTGTTTTCTACAGAATGTATGTCATTTTCACACTGGAATTTCAGTTAAAACACACACCCACACATATGACATGGGCAATGGTGATGCACACCTTTAATCCCAGCACTCAAGGGGCAGAGGCAGGCAGGTTTCTGTGAGTTCAAGGCCAACCTGGTCTATCTAGTGAATTCCAGGACAGCCATGACTACACAGAAAAGCCCTGTCTTAAAAAGCCAAAACCAAACAAATAAAACAAAAACACATTTGTTTTCATTGTGTGTGTATTACATGCATATGCAAGCACTGTTATTTTATAGAAGAGACCTGAGCATCTAGACGTTTTAGTACCCAGATGGGGGAACTCAATGATGATTGATTCTAAGATAGGACTATACATATTTGCATTTTCAGAGCCTGCTATCATCACTATAAAACTCAAAAGGAAAAAAAAAAAACACCTTGGAAATCAAAGGACATATTTCTAATGTATTAATAACTTAAAACTGTTTACAAATTCATGTGCATGTGTTTTGCCTACATGAGGGTGTTGGGTACTCTGGATTTGGAGTTGCAGACAGTTGAGCGCTGTCATGTGGGTGCTGGGAATTGAACTGGGTCCTCTGGAAGAACAGCCAGTGTTCTTAACTGATGAATCATCTCTCTAGCCTGTGTTAGTAAGTTTTTGTAAAATATTAAAACAAAGCTTTCTTTGCCAGTATGGTTCCTGTGAACATGGCGAACATTCCTAAGACCTACTGGACATTGTAGGAAAACAAGCAAAAGCCATGGCAAGCATGAGTGCTACAAAATGTCACAGGACCAGAAAAGCAAGGATTCGTGCTGTGCCCAGGGAAAGTGCTGTGGTGGGCAGACTGAGCCTACTTTCCACAAAGAAGAATGCACTGAGCCCACCTGCAGATCTGAGAGGATGTTGGCTAGTAAGAGATGTAAGCTTAACTGGGAGGCGATGAGAAGAGCCAAGTGATCCAGTTCCACATTGACTTTGTTATGCAGACAATAAAATAATGAGCTTTAGTCACCCAAAAAGGAAGGGAGAAAACACATACTTTACACTGAAACTCAAAGTGCTACCTGCTAGGGACATAAAGTGATGTGACAGGCACAGAGTCCTATGGATTTATGGTGAGTCTTCAATTCCCAATGAAACACCCAAAAAGGTAGACAAATTCACTCCCTTGGTGGAGTAATTAGGACGTTAGTTTTGCTAGCCACAGATTTAAAGCTCTCTAATGTGAACTATAAAAGAGCTCACATCCCAATCATGGTCAAAGCCATGATGAGCCAAAGTGAAAATTTTGGATGCAAGTAAGAGGGAAATAGCTCACATGTAAAAGACAGTATGATCAATGGTGACTTTTCATGTTCAGTAATGGAGACCGGGTGCCAATAAAAAGATATGTACCCACTCTAAGGACTGTATCTAGCAAAAGAAAATCTTTTAATGGTGAAACAACTATAAACATATTCTTGTACTGAGAATGAGTGATTTTATAGCAGGTAGATCTGCTTTATAAGAAATGTAGGACATAGGAGACAGTGTTGAGCCTTAGTAAGAAAACAACAAATGAAAACAATAGTAAAGGAAGCCCTTTGGGTTGAAGGAAGACACTAGGTGATTTAAAAAAGAAAATCTAAGAAAAGAACTCATGGTAAGAGAAACGGCAAAACTGTGACTTGATATAAAAGACTCTTTAAATACATTTTCATTTCTCTTTCATAACATGCTTAAAAGCAAAATTTTATAGAGAAATAAATTTTTATTGATTAAAACATAAATTTAACATATTACAATAATAGTATAAAGGATTGTGGAGAAATAGTCATAATGGAGAAAAAGAATATAAAATATTTTATATTTTAGATTAGTATTACCCTGAAATTATTGTGCTATAAAATGTGTTTATCATTCCTTGAGTCATCACAAAAAAGTCACTCAAAAAAATTAAAAACACATTGATCAGAAGGTGGACAGAGTCTATAATATGAGTGCACAGAAAGCTGAAACCCAGGACTGTGAATTTGAGACCAGTTTGAACTGTAAGAGAGACACTATTTTAAAAAAAAAAAAAAAAATCAAAGGAGTAAAGAGATGGTTCATCAGTTGAGCACCCAGTTGGTTTTACATGCCTTTAATCCCAGCACTCAGGAGAATAGGCAGGCAACTCTCTATGGATGTGAGGCCAGCCTGGTCTATGTAGTGATCTTGAAGCCAGCCACAGATACATAATGAGAGCCTGTTTTAATATGCATTCTGCTCTTGCAGAGGATTTAAGTTCAGTTTCTAGCAGCCATATCGGGTGGCTCATAACTGCCTGTAACTCCAGCTCCAGGGTTGTATCTACCACCTCTGGCCTCTTCATAAATACATACACACATGCGCGCACACACACACACACACACACACACACACACGATTTTGAAAATAAATCTGTAAAATAATCAAGGTATTAAAATGACACATAAGGTACAGTAAGTAAGGAATAATTTACTGAGGACAGGAGACAGAAAGAAAACAAGATGCCATTAATTACATTAACTATGAATGGTCTTAATATTCCAATAAAAAGGCAGAGACTTTTTAGATAGGATAGCAAAGCAGGGTTAAAGTATACACTATCTACAATTCACATATCAAAGACACAGGTTGAAAATAAGAAGAAAGAGAAGGATGGCTTATACCAATAATACCCATTAGAAACTGGTATATCTATACTACCTTAAAACAAAATAGACTTTATATAATTCTAGAAGCAAATGAGGCATTTTATAATGAGATCTCTAATAATTGTAGCAATTGAAAAATGGTGTCATGCTTCCTTTCAATAATTGGTAGAATAACTAAACAGAATTGACAGAGGTATAAAGAAGTTGAAGAACATTCTCAGCCAACTGTCTCTAACTCACATCTGCACAGCACACTATCTGGCAGGGAGTGCTCTTCAGAATAATGCAAAAGTGAGGTCATTAAATAATATTTAGTATATCAGAAACCATTAATACTGTATAATGCATTTTCTCCAACCACAGTTGAATTATTTTAAAAATGGGCAACCAAAGGACATGGTAAAATTTAAAAAAATTAAATAACATGCTTTTAAATGCCTACAAGAGCCCCAAAGAAGTCACAGTGGGTACTTAAAGATGTGAACTAGAAGAAAAATGGAAACATGCCAGAACTATCTAATGTAGCACTGGAGTGTAATCTCCACCAGCTGTACAGAAAGAGAAACAAATTTGATCTTGGTAACATTAGCATCATCATCCTGAAGAAACAGCAGAAAGAAAAATCAAACAGGACCAAAGTAAGACCCAGAAAAGAAAAAGGGAGATGTTAGAACAGGTGCAATAAAATGGAAGTTTGAAATGTCAGAGAAAAAAGTCAACAAAAGTGTTGGTACTTAAATACTTCATAAAATTAACGGATCTTTTCAGCACATTGACTAAGAAAAGAGAGACACTGACAAAGCCAATGATGGCGAGAAGAGAAAGTTACAGTTCCTAAGGGGGCACCAGAAGATCGTGAGTGACATGAACAATGGCATTAGCACACAGCAGTGCTAATAAGTGAGGCTGCTTGCATGCAGTCAGCCATCTCCTAAAATGATACAGTGATCTAGCTGGCTCAAGGGCTGGATCTCTGAAATGATGTCAGCTCTTGGAGATGCAAGCAGGAATATCAGGAGTTCAAGGCAAGCTTGTCCTGTGTCTACCCAAGACCGTCTCAAATAAACAAAATAAAACTGACTCAAGGAAAAACCTGACTCTATGCTGTCACCACGTTTATCCAGTATTGTACTAAAGGCCAGACAAGAGAAAGAGACAAAAAGCATTAAGGGGACTCTTAAATAATCTTGATGTAACCTTTTTCTCAGTGAAAATTTAACTGTGTACTTGTTCTTTGAACACAGAATATGCTTCCCTGGGGTCCCTGTATGATTACATTAACAGCAACAGGAGCGAAGAGATGGACATGGATCACATCATGACCTGGGCCACCGATGTAGCCAAAGGTAATGTTCTTGCTATGCACCTACAGAGGGGGATCCTATAGGTAGCAAGGGGTAATTAGCTCCTCTGCATCCTAACATTTCCTACAGACATCTCTTTACAAAGCAAATATACAGTGTTGCTCAGTGTTCAATAGGGGAAGCAGCTTATATTTTGTTTTCATGGCAAAGATAAAGATATAGAAAGACTTCAACAGGAGTCTGTTCTGTGGAGGAATGCCTTAAGTACCTGCCAAGTTCCTCAGACAGGAAAAGTGAAAGCAAGCAAATTAACTTTTATGCTAATGCTGCCACTCACTACCTGTGAGTTAAATATAAGCAGCCCCATGTTTGGATGTAATTCCTTACATTTGGGCTGTGGTGATGAACTTACCCATGTATTCTTGCATCCGACATCTTAAATTTATCTTAACGTTCCATGTTTTTGAATATCAAAGCCACTTCTCTGCATGTCCATAGGGCACAAGGAGCACCTGTGAGTGTCCATAGACACAAGGAGCACCTGTGAGTGTACACAGGGCACAAGGAGCACCTGTGAGTGGCCATAGGGCACAAGGAGCACCTGTGAGTGTCCATAGACACAAGGAGCACCTGTGAGTGTCCATAGACACAAGGAGCACCTGTGTGTCCATAGGGCACAAGGAGCACCTGTGAGTGTCCATAGGGCACAAGGAGCACCTGTGAGTGTTCATAGACACAAGGAGCACCTGTGTGTCCATAGGGCACAAGGAGCACCTGTGAGTGTACACAGGGCACAAGGAGCACCTGTGAGTGTCCATAGGGCACAAGGAGCACCTGTGAGTGTACACAGGGAACAAGGAGCACCTGTGAGTGTACACAGGGCACAAGGAGCACCTGTGAGTGTCCATAGACACAAGGAGCACCTGTGAGTGTCCATAGACACAAGGAGCACCTGTGAGTGTCCATAGGGCACAAGGAGCACCTGTGAGTGTTCATAGACACAAGGAGCACCTGTGAGTAGGCAAGGTCCTGCTGATACTGGCGGTTGCCTGCAGCGTTGTGGAAATGCACCTACACGGATGGAAACACACTTTCTTATTGCACTTTACTGACGTTATGTTTTGGGTGCTCGGCTAATTACACTCCTGTTATTACTTAATGGTACTTAGGATGGATAGACAGCAAACAAATCAAGTGACAGCTTCCAGCTGTGCTCTCTCTACCTTAGAGTTCCCGATTCCTAGCTGCAGCACCCACTTCGCCCTCTGTCACATGGTCCTGTCTGAGGGCCAAACCTCTTGGTTTCCGGGTAAGGCTGTAATCCTCTCAAGTTTCTCAAGAGAGCTGCTTCTCCACTTTAGAGTAGGGAAGAAAAGGAACAGAATTAAGTAGCACAATGGAGGCAGAGATGCAGGGTAAGGAAGATGGGAAGAGTCCCAAGTCACGAGCCATTGATTAGAGAGTCAATCTAAAAGACAAACTCTCAGTGTTTGGCCTCGGGAATTGGGCCCATTTACTCATAATCCTAAGTGATACGTAGCATGTAGGAATTATTTCAGATGGTCAGTGACAGGAAAAAGGAGTCCATACTTTAAGATTGACTTCAACCCTCTCCCCTACATCTACACGTAAACTTTAAACAGCAAAGCGTGACTCTGGTTGATTCTGTTTCTGTGCCTTTTGGTTTGACCATGATCGAAGCCACTGAAGCACTAATGTGTTGAGACATCAGAGCATGAATAATTCATTCTGAGGGTTGACTCATGCATTTGAAAATAGGCATTGCTCAACGTCTTTGCTGTTGAGAGTGGCACTCAAAGCTGCAAGGACACTCCTCCTTTCCAGAAGGAAGAGGAGGAGTGTGGGCGCGCACATCTGCAGCTGTGTGCGAGGGGCAGTTAGAGCAGGCTGGCTGAATGCAGCCTCAGTCCAAAGTCCCCCAAACCTCCTCCCTGGTACCTTACTAAGATTCACAGATCTTACTAAGGATTCACAAATATGCCCAATGGTGACACAGCCTCTAATCCCAGCGCTTGGGAGGCAGGGGCAGGAGGATCTCTGTGAGTTCAAGGCCAGCCTGCTCTACAAAGTGAGTTCCAGGACAGCCAGAGATGTACATGGATAATCCCTGTCTTGAACCCTTCCCCCCCAATTAAAGAGAGAGAATTCTCAAATAATTGAACAAGATGAAAATGGCTTTTTTTTTTCAGCCCTTTTCAATAGTTTGCAATAAAAACAAAGAAAGTGACTCAAAAATTAAATTGAATTTTCTGATTACACTAAGTTTTCAATCAAAGCTGGGTACTATGCACTGTGCACCAATAATCTGTGGGACTTTTTCTTCTGATAATCTGACACAGAGTAGAAAGTGCCTATATTTAAAGATTTTATAGTCAAAGCTTCCCTTTTGAAATCTTTGTCAGCAAGTATAAAAGTCGTCTGTTCTTGCTTCTAATCATAGTCAAATAGACTGTACGTGAAAATTATTTGGAAATTTGATTTTAAAACAAGGAAGTAACTATGGAAATCAGCCATGTCGACTACGAAGTGCCGCGCAGGAAGCAGCATTGAACTTTACAGTTTGAATGTGCAGAACTTGCTATTAAATGAGACCCTTTATCCCAGTTACATTAACTTGATTCTTTTCAGTGATATCATTATATAACAAGAGTTAAAACTTTTTTCTTATTTTCTTTGTTCTTTTGATGCCTCAACATATAATAACCAGAGTAGTAGAAGAAGAGCTATTAATTAGTATTAATAATTCACCTTTACAAAATTCTGTGTATTAAAAAAAACAAGCATACTTATTAAATTACTTTCATGGGCATCTCAAAAACAAAAAAAGGTTCTTTCCTTTTAATGTGGAGTGAGGAAGGACTGTTTCTTCTACTGTTTTGAAAAGAGAACCCGAGAAATGAGAAGGAAGTACTGTTTAGAAAATGTTTTCCCCTATATTATCTGTTTTTGCCTAAAACAAAAAAGACCAAACACTTTTAAGGGAATAACCATGAATATATCTTGAAGTGTGATTTTTTTTTCATTCAAAATAATAAAATTATTGGCATTTGATTCACCCAGTATATAGAGTACCTTAATTCATATTATAAATAGATGAGAGTGAATTTGGAGATTTCTTCTTGTGAGAAGAAAAATATTGTGTAAGCATTGTGCATCCACACACCCTTACCCACCAGGGGACCTGCTGCCCACCTCATCTGTCTCACTCTCGGGTCTTGAAGAAAAGTGTTGCTGCAGACATCCAGGGGAGAGATGAGGAGCCCAAACTCAAGCAGACGTAGCATGCACTTGGTAGTGGGAAGCTCCGGGGTCATTTGGGTCATTTTGCCGCACTGTTTTCATGCAGATCTGAGAAAATTACGGTGTCTTTCTTAGGTACTGTAAGGAATGAGATTATCCAGAGTAAAGTTCTGCATTGGCTATAGGGGAGAGAATGTTACTAATGTAGACATATGTGATTTTTGTTTTATGGAGCATGGAAGAGGAGAACATATGAACTTATTTTTTGCTATGGATTTCTTTGCAAAGTTGTGAATGTGCATACTGATGCAATATTGCAAACCATTAATCTTCTTTCCCTCTTGCACGAAAGGGATGCACTACTTACACATGGAGGCTCCGGTCAAGGTGATCCACAGAGACCTCAAGTCAAGAAATGGTAGGTGGTCACACCTTTTGATCTTACCATTTCACTACAGGTCACTCACGCACCTGCTCATAAAACCAGCATGATGCCTTATGGGTAACTCGTTGTTGGTCCACACTCTACTGTGAAAGCATTGTCACTCTCAATAAATATCAAAATCTTTATGTTATTTGAGAACGTTGCCTACTGTTCTACTGTGTGAGTCTAACACAGGGTGGAGACAACTGGAATGCTTATGTCTTTTTTTTTTTTTTTTTTCTAAAATAAGAAATGTTTAGCCTAATGCCTTTTGGCAAAGTTTTTTTTTTTTTTTTTTTTTTTTTTTTTTAACACATACATCTCTAATTATTTCCTTAGGATCCTTTTCTAAAATGGGCATCACAGGTCAAAATGTGTAGTCATGTATTTTAAGTCTCCCATTTTTAGATGCTTCCCTCTGCCAGCAATTTTGAGTTTTATCTCGGAATTACATGGTATACATCTTTTGGTCACTCATGCCCATATTACCTGGAGTAGTGCCCAAAGAGAACCAGCGTGCTTGAGGGTTCAGAACGCAGAAGCATTCCTTTTTTCCTTTTTCTTTTCTGGGCTGTCTATACTTTATGAGCCTATATTTATCCTTTGGAAAGTGGTTGTCTTAAAATAGCTCCCAGGATTAGACACTACCCTCTTCCATTACGTCACTTCAGAGTTATCAGAAAGGCAGTAGGACTGTTTAGCTTTGGAGCTAAGTAAGCATCCGAGTTTGCTGCTTAAGAGAAGGAGAAAGAAAGCAGCCCTTGCTATGGGTTATTTCACACTTCCCAGTGGCTCTTGGGTAGGGAGGAAAAGCATTTAATTTTAAACATTTAAGACTACTACAGCTAAAGCGGGAATTTACCAACAGGGTGGTGACAGCAAGGGGCAAGAGGAGCCTGGCCGGGGCCCAGGGTGGGCTGCTCACACTCCAGGCTAAGGTCTGGCAGGTGGTTAGCGAGCAGGAACGGCAGGAAGGTGTAGGCAGCAGCCACTATCAGAACCCAGGCTGGCCCCTCCTTACCTGGTCAGCTGGCATGGCTGACTGTCACACCCTGTCCGTCCTCACTTAATCTTCGGTTCTTCTGAGACAGACATACTTGTGATATAGAGCTGGCGAACAGGGGGTCATTAGAAAATATTCTCTAACTAGGTAGGAAGTAGCAGGGTTTATGACCAAAATCTCAATCTAGGCTATTAGTTTCAATATAAACAAATTACTTGATTTTCTTAAACCCATGTACTTAGCATAAAGGCTATACAACAATGGTGAATTCCTCACGTTAAAAGAGAGAGAGAGAGAAAGAGAGAGAGAGAGAGAGAGAGAGAGAGAGAGAGAGAGAGAGAGAGAGAGAGAGAGAGAGAAGGTATGTAGTTGATAGGAAACATTAGCATACCAGCCTGACTTGGGCAATTTATTTTTAGAGGAGTAGGAGAGAGACTTCGTTTTCTGTAGTGTTTTTAAAAACTTAAGTTATGGTCTAGCAAGATGGCTCAGTGGGTAAAGGCACTTGCCAAGCTTGACAACCTGAGTTAAATCCCCAGAAACCACGCTTTAGGAAGAGAGGACCGACTCCCACAAGTTATTCTCTAACCTTCACGTGCTTACCTGATCTATAGGCACCCACACACATACATACACACACAAAATAAGTACATAAGCCAGTCAAAACATATCATTAGTGTATATATGTGTCTGGTGTGTGTTTGTGTACATGCACATGCTGTGTGTAGTGTGCTTGTGAAAGGCAGGGAACAACTTTGTGGGGCCGTTCTCTCCTTCCACCTTTATGTGGGTGGGTCTCTGGGGTCCAATGCAGGTCACCAGGCTTTCATGACAAGTGCTGAGCCATTTCTCCAGCCTCCATAGTGTTTTCATAATGTTGTTTTTCAATGAGCACTTGCTAATCTTACATTAAGAAAGGGGACTAGGCACGTATTTTAAGAACAATCGAATATTAATAGTAATATTTACTTGCATTTTTATTTGAAAAAAAGTATGCATCTCATTCCTCCCAACCCCACATTTACTTTGAGGCTATTTTTATGTATTAGATCACACAGAATGTTTTCTCCAGCTACCAGAATTGCTAGGAACAGCTGCTGTATTGATGAGCTATCATGCTCGAGGCCCTGTGTGGCTTATTAAACAAATGCCAGAACCGAAACCCTTGAGGCTTCAACCCTCAAGTTCTTCTCTTGTCTTCCCCCCCCCCCCATACCAGCCCTTCTTCTGTGTCAACACTCCCAAGCTGATGTTGGCTTTGAAAGTGTGTATTATAAATACTTGCATAGATATTTTACATGAGCTTACAATGTATTATGTTCAAACTGACCATCTCATCTTCCCCCTGCGGCCTTAAAAAGCCATTGCCTCATTCCCTTTCATGGTACAGTACCAGTTGCTTCTGTTTCCCTCGCTGCATTTGTATGAAACAAGTACCTTGAAAGCCATTTGGAGCAGCACCTCATGGAATTAAGCTTTATCTCCCTTGTACCAACTCTCAAATTCAGAAAATATTTTCATTTTACCTTTCATAATATAAAATTCTCTGTTTCTCACTCTTACTCTGTTTCTCTGTCTCTGTGTCTCAGTTTCTCTATCTTTCTGTCTTCTCTCTCCCTCTGTGTGTGTGTGTGTGTGTGTGTGTGTGTGTGTATGTTTTGAACAGGGTCTTGTTATATATCCCTGACAGGTTTGGTTTTTGCTATATAGCCCAGGGTGGCCTCGAACTCATGGTAATTCTCCTGCCTCAGCCTGGGATTACAGACACACACCACCGAGCCCAGTTTATGCTGTGAAGTTAGAAATGTAGTGATATAAAAATCAGAAATATGAGTCTGTGCTTTTCTTCAGTGTAAGACATTTCAAACACGAATGACTGTCATGGTTTCTCCCTGCTCTTTTTCAGTTGTTATTGCTGCTGATGGAGTCCTGAAGGTAAGGCTGTTTCTTTTCATTTGGAGAAAGGTGTTCATTTCTGATAGAGGTCTTAGGACCGATACTCTCTCCTTAGTGCTGGGTAGAAAGCTAATGTTGGTTCCTGTGTCCTCAGATCTGTGACTTTGGTGCCTCTCGGTTCCATAACCACACAACACACATGTCCTTGGTTGGAACTTTCCCATGGATGGCTCCAGAAGTTATCCAGAGTCTCCCCGTGTCTGAAACCTGTGACACGTATTCCTATGGTGTGGTGAGTGCATTTCTCATTTGTTTACCAAAGGACATAGGAAGAGCAAACAGCCTAGAGAGGAACGTGGCCACAGTTTAGCTTGTCTGACACAGGAGGATCATCTGTGGTGGCAGCATAGGGACAGAGCTTTCTAGCTGTCACAGTGTGTGCTTTGATCACGTATGCCCTGCATTGAGAAGAACCATCACTACTTCATAGAACCTCATCAGTGTTGGGTCTGTCCCACCCCATTCTGTGAGTGCTGCTGTGTGGGGTGGAAATAGGGCTGTAGAATAGCTGTGTCATTCACTGATACTTCCCGTCTCTTGGAACACACTTGATTGTCAATAAATAGATTGCTCGCATGGTGTGTGACCACCAATAGCTGCCGAGTGAGCTAAACTCAAGTATTTCCAAAACTACAAAAGAGCACATAGTTAGACCAGATAACCTTGTCCAGGTCTGCTGCAAGTCCTATAAAAACCAGTGTTGAAGTTGTTACTTGAGAATGACAAGAGATGGGAGGAACAAGGGTAGAATGCGGGAGGAACCTTTGGGATAAGGACCATTTGGGAGGGAGAAGCTTCGGGTAGGGTAGCTCCTGCAGGAAGGCATTCTTTCTGACCCCTTTTTTGAAGGTGTTTTTTTTTTTTCTCAAGTGTTGTATACCCTTTAAAAAGCCCAGAGCATGTGGGGATTCTGCGTTTCCAGGCCTCATCTCAGACTATGCTTTGTATACCACTTCCCCATTTACAGATTACCTTGCAAAAGGACACTGTCATTGTAAGACAGCTTGGACCCCCTCAGCACACCCTTTTTCCTGAGGTGGGAGGTAACAGCCAGGGAAGGGCCACATGTCAGGCATGCCCCTTTCCCTTACAAATCTGCTGGCTTCCTAGTGTGTGGGGATTTTCCTGTTGTCTAGTGCTTCCTAAATCATGAACTCTTATACACAGGTAAATTTTGTTGGCTATTGAAAACAATTTCAAGAATAGATTATGTGTTTTGGGCTAAAGTCTAAGGGTTTTGTTTTTTTTTTTTTTTTTTGTTGTTGTTTTTTTTTTTTTTTTTTTTTTTTTTTGAGACAGGGTTTCTCTGTGTAACAGCCCTAGATGTCCTGGTATTCACTTTGTAGACCAGGCTGACCTTGAACTCACAGAGATCTACCAGCCTCTGCCTCCCTAGTACTAGGACTAAAGACATACACCACCAGGCCCAGAAAGGCTAGAGTTTTAAAGGTTAAAGGATGACAGTAGTATCCACTTTAAATATCTAATTCCTCATAATTCTGAATGTTTCTAAGAATGAAAACCATGTTACTACTTAGAGCAAAGAAATACTTCTCATTGATAGGAAGGGAGAAAAGGAGTAATAGTTCCAGAGGACACCAGCTTCTGAAGCTGTATTCTGTAATACTGTGCGATTGTCACACACTGGTCTGGAAATTCTGAAAACAGGAGCTTTGTTACAATGTAACACTTGTTTTGCTAGGACTTAGCTGGGTGGGGGAACACTCACCTGGTATATACAGTTCCCAGCACTACAGAAAGAAAACCCTTAAAGCCTTTTTTGAAGTTGTTTTCTCTTACCAAGTCACATTCCTTTACTTTAGGGAAAATGATTGCTTATTGAGTTAGTCTTTGGACTGGACATCAGCGTAGGTTGATTTACATTTCACGAGCCTCATTTCACGCCACTGAACAGAAGCCAGAGTGCTTTCTCTATAAGGGACCAGGCAGCCGTGGCTTGCCTTTGCCGACTGCTTACCCTCTGGCAGCTGAGGCTGCTTCACAGTTCCTTAAACATGACAGAACCGTTTTTTGCTTCAAGCAGTCCAGACTCTACAGACCTTCTAGGGAGTGAGGGGATTCAGGAAGACATTAGAGCACCTGCAACAGGTGGGTCATTTGGCCATGGTCCAACTGATCATGTGACTGAGTGGGAGGCCAACTCTCCTTGCACGCACAGGTGTATATAAAAATAGAGACCCATATGGACAGCCATGGTTTTAAATTAGTTTGCACAGTTTTGTTAATCAGATGGGTTTTGAGGCTTATTTCCTACTCCAGCAGTCCAATTCTCCCTAAGCCTTGGAATTTCTCCAATTAAAAATATTTGATCTAAAGTCACAGCTATGAGTTATGTATAGAATGAACTTCTAGTTTCAATATTATTGCATTTATGAAAATAAACCCTGTGTCACTGTCTTCCAAAAGTTTTCAGATGCCTGGACACTGTGTGAAATGCAGCAGTCTGCCTTTCCTTAAGAGCGTGCCCTCTTGGTACCTATAGCCAAGAATCAAGCCTCTTCCCCAGGAAACCAGAGCTGCTGAGCCATGACTTCTGGTACCAAGCTAGGACTCACCTGTGTCTCTAAATCCCCTTGGCAGTCCTCACTGATCACTTCCTTAACCATCTTCCTGGAGCTGGAGCTTTCCCATTGTCTATAAAAACCTTTCACTCCAGAGACGGTGAGCTGCTTTTGAGGGAAGGGCTCTGTGTTCACATAGGAGGCCCTCAGGCTACATGGGTACCACCCCTACCTTTGCTTGCCGTAGTTTGGCTTTCTTGGGGAGGAAGATGGTTTTGCTCTTTCGTTGTTAAGTCAATGGCTCACTATGCAGCTCTGGCTGACTTGGAATTTCTTATGTAGGCTAGGCTGGCCTGGAACTCACAGAGATCTGCCTGTCACCTAACCTCTGGTATTAAAGACATGGGCCATCCTGCCTACTGGGGAAGGGACTTAACAGGAACTTAATAAACCATTTCCTAAGACTACACTCCACCACACACCAGCTGTAACTTAGAACCCAACTGCCCAGTCCCCTGACTGTGTCAGTCTCAATTCCAAATCCATGCAAGAGCCTTAGCAGAAATGTCTCCATACCTCTTTAAAGGCAGCTTCTAGGAGGCTGAAGAGGACCTCTTTTCAGTTCCCAGCACCCACATGGGGGTTGACAGCCGTCTAACTCCAGTCCCAGAGCACCCGATGCCCTCTTCTGGCCTCTGCAGGAACTGCACACGTGTTGTGCACAGACATACCTTCAAGCAAACACAATATAAAGTATATATAAATCCCAAAACAGCAAAGCTAGCATCTGGGGCTGAGAATGGCTCGATATAATAAAGGCATTTGCTGGCAAGGCTGAGGACCTGAGTGTAATCCCTAGGAGAATCTACACGGTAGGAAAAGCAGAATCTCACAAGATGGTGACCGATCTCTACATGCATGTCATGCATAAAATAAGTAAAGATTAAACCATCTTCTGTTGTTAGTTTCTCTTTAATAAGTGAAGTTTGACTGAAAATGCTGTCCTGCCTCCCAGATGACTCTGTTTGAAGAACTCCAGGAAAGTCAAGTGTGCATTCAGGAATGCATTTAACACTGTCCCTTCTCTTTCTGTTCATTTTAAATAAGCATCATCAGTGAAAGGGAAAAGCCAAGGCTTCTGTCAAGAACCCTCTGTTTTAAACGAACATGAAAAAACATTGTGAGTTCCTAGTGGGTTGTGCACCAGAAAGAGAGAGTTTTTCCAATTGAGGCCATGTCAGGTATAGGAGTTTGTGATCCTCGAATTCAAAAATAGCAGCAACCTAAAAAACAAAACAAAACCCCTATGTGTGTGTGTGTGTGTGTGTGTGTGTGTGTGTGTGTGTGTGTGTATTGCAGAATTATGGTATCCCTTCAGAAGGAGCATTGTTCTAACATAAAACATCCCATAGTTCATGAAGAACACGGCCATCAAAAATTGGTTTCTGAAACTCACCCAAAAAAAGACATGTTTTTGCTTTTTACCTTTCTTGGATTGATAATCTTGGTTTGCTTCTAAGCTCATGACAAGACTAAGTAGCCTTGCACTGCCTTCAAAGAAACTTCCTATTTCCAAATCATGTTAGGCAGGCAGTTGTCCTTTATCCTTTTACAAGGAGGGGTATTTTTGCACTCTCAGGATAGTGTCTCCTGGAAGGTGGGGAAGCATGTTTAGTATATGATCTGCGAAAAAGAAGGGCACAGATGACTGGAGGGCAGCCTGGCAGAACACATGCCTGTCACCCTGCCCTGTGACAAGGGTAACCCTCCTAGAAGCTTCCAACCAAAGCCAGCTTGGGCTGTGCTAGCTTAAGAGGCAGCCTCTGCAACTTGTCTGGAGCCCTGTTCCAGAAGCAGCCTGGCTCAGGTAATGGCTTCCTATTGTTTGTGAGAGAAAAGGCAGAAACACACAGTCTCATCCAAGTTTCTGTTCTGTAAACTGAAAATAGAAATTTCCCTAGTGAGTGCAGTTTAACTGGGAGGGACGTCTGATATACAACGAGTTGGAAAATATTTTTAAGGTGAAAGATCACAGCAGTGTTTGGCCTGCATCCTCGGAACTGGTATTTTAAGGCATTGGCTTACTGTATTTTTAGACCTCCAAGTGACTTCCTCAAAAAACTTACTTTTTTGTGCCAAATGTCATTCTTATTGAATGTAGAAAAAAGGCCATTCGGGCTTGTTCTGCTTTCATTTGGGTACATTCCCAAGTCTGGGATTAATAAAGGAAGATCATGGGAGGTGCTGACACTGGAACTGAATACAAGACCTTGTGTGGGTTCCGGAGCTTGAGGCTTCTGGTGGTGAGCAAACCTTTCCACAGTTCTGAGTCCCACGAGAACCTCTCTTGGCTGTCGTAGCTATTCAGATACACAGACAGACAGAGTGACACTGCCCAGATGTTTCACATTTACAGCTCTTAACTTACTAGAATTTTGGTATTTTCCAGGCAATTATTTTGATCTAAAAAAATGAAGAAGAGGTAGCTTTCTTGTGTTATTTCCTCAGACTCTTAGAGGGGCTGCATTTTACTGTGTGGGTAAATCCCAGGCAGATTCCAAATGTGATATGTGTGTGTGTGTGTGTGTGTGTGTGTGTGTGTGTGTGTGTGTGTGTGTGTGTGTTGATGAGACTGTGTGTTTCTGCCTTTTCTCTCATAAACAATAGGAAGCCATTACCTGAGCTTGGCTGGTTCTAGAGCAGGGCTCTAGTAACAGAGGACTAGCGTAGTCCAAGCTGGCTTTGGCTGAAGCTCCTGAGAGGGTAACCCCTGTCACTGGAGAGGGTGAGTCTGAAAGGGGGAAGCTTGAATTGTTCACCTGAGTGTTTGGGGACCTGAAGCATTTGATTTCTTTGAAGCTGCCACCTTTTTCCATTTTCCGCAGCAATGTGGAATAGATCAATTTTCCCACTCTTTGCCTTCTTTCCCCCTCTGTCCCCAGTACCAACAGAGTGTGGTAATCACAGCAAATTGAGGGACTCCATTTCCTGTTCAGCCTAGCTCTGCCCCTCCCCTGCACAGGCAGGGTGACAGGGTGACTACATACCTGTGCTGACTCTTACCCTCCCTCGCTTACAGCCAGCATTAGGCTCGTCTCCTTCTGGGATGCCCCTTACCTTTACCTAATCACTTATGTGACTCAAATGGAATTATTCAGTAGCTCTTCTGAAGAAGTACCTTACACACTTGATTAAAAGCCCAAAGAGGCTTCAGGGATTTTTTTCCCCCTCATGCTTGAGGAGCATCTGCCAATTTCCCTGATTTTCTTGCTAATTATCTTCGTATTAGCCAGCATTCATTTAACATGTTATAGCTTGAACAAGACAGCAGGCTGGCTGAGGATATAATGGCTGTACAGTTAAAGGCTTACAGGATTACTCAAATAGAGCCATGCACGCCTATGTAGAAATGGGCTTTTGAGTTTGCAGCAAGGGAGAGCAAACATACCTTGCAGAGTTGTCACCCTGAGTCTGTCTTGACTCCTCCGCACCTACAGCAGAGCCTGTTGTGTTCTCTGCTGCACCGGAGCTACCTCAGCCCTAGAATTACATGAAATGAGAGCACGGCCTCCAAATAAGAAAGCAGTGTGTGTCGCCGCTGTCCCACTTGGTGGCTGAGCATCTGTAGGCAAGTTTATCTGACTTCCCTGGACACCCATTTCCTCATCCACAAATTGAGGGTGATATCTGAGGCTCGATAATGATCAAGGTGACACAAGTAATGGGCATTTGGAGCATATTAGGCACTCAATAAATTATAGTGCTTGTCATATTATGATTATTAGCAAAATTAGAATTGCTTTTGTGCTTTGCAAAGTACTAATAGACAAATCTTTGCGGTATCAGGCTGGCATGGTGACACACACCTGTAATTCTAGCACTTGAGAGGCTGAGGTGGGAGGATCATGAATTCAAGGCTAGCCTGAGCTACGCCAGACTCTGTTTCAAAAAAAAAAAAAAAATGGATGCATTGGATGCTTGTTTGAATAAAAAGAGACAGCAACTGGGTGTTCAAATCCCCATTCCTCAGTGTTTAAAGAGAAGCCAAAATCTCCATCCTAACACTAGTTGTCACACTTCCTTGAGTTTTACACAGTTGAGTGCACATATTTACTCATGCATATTTATACATACTCAGCTTATGTGTGCATTAAATTGTGTTATACTTTAGAATATGGCATAATATATGTAAGTAGCAATGGATCCCTTAGACTGACTCATTCTGAGAGAAATTTGTACAAATCACAAAATCTAAATGTTATAATTTTACAGATATCTACCAGAATAGGACAGATGAGTTTGCTAGTGATTTGAACTGGGGACTTTATTTCTGTTTTTGTTTTTTAATGTGAGCATTATTGAACCTTTAAAAACTGGATTGAATTCCTTGTTACTATCTAATAAAAAAATGTATCTGAGATTCAAGGCAGAACAACTATTCCCTGACAAATTACAAAACCTAGTGTGTGGGAATATGTGAACATCCCAGTGAGTCAAAAGATCAAGTTTAATCACTAATATAAAATTTTAAGTGTAGGCACTCCAATTCCTAAAACAAGTTTTTTCTTTATATTCAAAGAACATGAAAGTATATAACATATGGTAGAAGTCCTATGTGTGAATACATACATATATTGTCTAAGTTCTACAGATGGTTGGCTACGCCTAGTAATTGGATACAATTAAATGCTAGCTACGTTTTCAGTAATATACCAATATAAAGTACCAGAATAAAAATTCAATTTTCTTTTTGTTATAGGTTCTCTGGGAGATGCTAACAAGGGAGGTCCCCTTTAAAGGTTTGGAAGGATTACAAGTAGCTTGGCTTGTAGTGGAAAAAAACGAGGTAAGACTCCGTTTCTCCATTCAGGTGCATAGATCAGAAAACAGTATTGGGGTTTTGCAAAAGACTTTTTCATCTTCTTCAAATTGAAAGTAAGTTCACGCTTATGGAAAGATTAGCAGTAGGAGCTAACACAAAGGGTCAAAGTGATGTTATTCCTCATGAATGGACCCTTTACATCTAATTGTTGCAGCTTCACGTCGTGATGCTGTAGATCAAAAATTGTACAAGTACTGTACTAGTTTCTCAGTCTCAATTGTAAAACCTAGGGGTTTGTTCTTAGTGATGAAAGAAGCCATTGCGTCCAAGGTAGGGGAACAGTTTAACTGCATCTCCTGCGTTTAGGACATCTTTTTTACTGGCCGGGAGTTGATATATCTGTAAGAGACCTTCAGCTACTTCAACTTACCTCTCCCAGCAGGAGTCACTATAGTACAAGAAACTGTCGCTTAGATGAGAATTTCAAAAATAAAAGAAGAAAAAATAGTTTCAAAAGGGGGAAAAATTACAGTTTTGCCACCTACGTTGAACACTACATTGAAGATGAGCTCCTCACTGGAATTGGCGAGGCAGTGACACAGTGCTGGCTTGTTCATGCAGAGTCGTTCCATTTCAAAGGAACTTCAGTGGCGTAAACACCGTCTGTGCTGTGTCCCCAGCCTCGCTTTTCTTCTTCCCACAAATTGAGGCTTTCAGCTAGTTGGACCTATGAGCCTACATCAGAGAACATGACACATCCATATCAAAGACAGCAACTACATTCTGAAAGGTTTCAAATTGTCACTGAAATGCACAGCCTTGGAAATCTCTCAGCCTAAGGACGGAGCATCCAATACCACGGCATTAGGAGAACTTAGATGGCGTTGTGGATGCACACGCTTGTGTTTGCAAGGCAAAACAACTTATTTCCCAGAACATCTTCATTTCCATATCTGTGTACAAAGGCTGAGTGAGACCTTAAAGTGAAATATTCTCCATAAGAATATATAAAGATAGCCCTTTTGGCACTTTAGCAGAACTGGATTGATCTGCAACCCCTGTCAGTACAGAACAAACCAGGTTAATCAGAAAGTGCTGTTGACCAGGAGAAACCAAGATGCTGTCTCCTGGATCCCATGGACCCAGAGCTACCTGAATAATTTGTCCCCCTGACTCATTGGGAATGGGTGGCACATTGCAGTGGCTGGATTTGATGGGAGATGGCTGCCAGCATAAGAGATGAAAAGGACTTCCATGCTAGACCAGTACTCATTCATTGCTTCTCTAGAGCTGTCTGGTTTTAATTAGATGATAGTCATTCCCCATGCACTGTTCAGTAAGACCTCACACACAATAACCAATACTTTGGGACATGAGGACCCCCTGCTTCCGTTCTGTCTTTTTTGCCAGAGAGATGGTTGAGAGTTTTAGTTTAGGTTTGATGAATCCAAGTGAAGAGAACATTGACCTTCAATTCAGCTGACCCTGAACACAGGATCCAACACAGGATGGATTAGGAAAAGGGGCTTAGAAAGCCACTCAGATAGATCCTCTGAAGTTGACAGGATAATTAGTATTTTGTAATTATTTTTTGCAATACTTTTTTTTTTTTTTTGTCTAGAAAAAGGCAGAATAGGCTCAGCCCACTGCATTCCCAAAACATTGGTTATTTCAAGCTGAAGAGAATGGAGGCTTTTGTCCTGCCTGAAGGTTGGAAAACTCCCACCAAAACCCCTGAGAACTGTGTAGCATCACACAAAGAAGCCACTTCCTTCTGTCCCCTACAGATCCCATGGGACATATTGTGGTGTGCCCCATCATAGCTGATGAAGACAACTCATAGACTTCCTGAACTGTTCATTACATGAAGTAGGAAGTTGAGAGAATCTACATGTTGACATAAGATCTCTCAGCTTGCCAATGAATTGACAAAAAACAGGTTGGATTAAGGATAATTATCTGCTGTTCCCATTCTACACAGTACTTATCTGTCAAGAAAAAAAAAAATGGAAACTAAGCCTGAATGGAATTTCCAGTGTTACCATTCAAGGTGTCTTCATTCTACCACATTTGACACACAGGCTTTCTGAACAAATTCCACTCATGTAGTATTAAGACATTAAGTTCACTTGATAACAAAACTGAGACTTCAAGAAACATAATTTGTAAACTTTCTTAAACTTCCAATATTTTATTTATCTTTAATGTTGAATGCCTTCAATTATTGGGTTGAAGAAAAGTTTTCATATTTTCATGTCTTCATGAAATAATGTGCTTAAACTGCCAAGGAAAGATTGTTAATGTGATCTATCTAGTCATTCTGTAACATCTATATCCAATTAGGGGGGTTGTTTTTTTTAATGCTTTTTATTTTGAAATAATTATGGACTCCTAAGAGTCTGTAAAAATATTACAGAGAATCCTGTGTACCCAGCTTTCCCACTGCCGATACCTTATATAGGCTCAGTGGCAGCTAAGCTGGGCAGTTAGGATGGGGACATCACTCTAGGTGGGAGTCTTTCTGTAATCTCTCCTCCACATCGAGTACGACAACTGGTTTATAGGAAAACATGCTTTCTAACCTTACATCTGAAGATCTTTGCTTCTAACTTAGGGAATAAGGCTTTTGGCTAGTCTTTTTTTTTTTCTGACATTAACTTTTATTAAAAATAGATTCAGAAATCCTTATTATGCTTTGCCAAGTGAACAGTGAACCTTAGCGAAGGCATGAGCTTAACAGGGCATTACTAAAAACTGAGATATATATATACATATTTGCTTTTATATTTCCATGAAAATCAAGTGGGCCTTCAGAATATTTTAGAGTATAACTTCTACTTTTATAAACACATGGATTCTTGTATAAAATGTGATTTGTAGTAAATTGTAGCATATTAAGTCTTATAAAAAAATCTCCATAAAACTTAAAATTTAATTGGGACGAGTGAGATGGCTCAGTAGGTAAAGGCACTTGCTGCCAAGCCTGACAACCCGAGTTCAATTCCTGAGACCCACATGGTAGGAGAGAACTATTTCCTCAAATTGTCTTCTCATGCACATCACAACAGAGGTGTGCGTCCTAACACTCACACACACACACACACACACACACACACACACACACACACACACACGTAATACATTGACTAATTAATTCTAAATTTATTTTACATGCAAAATTTTTAAACTTAATAATACACTACTCTTTAACTTTAGAAAGATAAAAAACTTGAATATTTTCACATCTTTGATATAAAATGGTTCAAGAATATATTTTTTAAAAATATCCCACTTAATTTAGTTATTGGGAGACATTCTACTTTTAAATGTGAAACCTTTATTCTCAAATATGTAAGTTGTAAGTAATGCTGCCACATAGTACAAAAATCTGGCCATTTGGGGATGTTTGGAATCTTTAGGAATGTATTAAAATTGTGTAATCAGGATATAAATACTTCAGATTCGATTTTAAAGTATTTTTAATACACCAAAGAAATGCCGTACCTAAAAGTGTCTTTTTCTTTGTGTGATGTTTGAAATGCTATATCTAAAAAGGCTTTCCAGTAAGAAAAGAGGACAAAAAGAAACCCAAATCCAGTCAGTTGCCATTGGCTTCATTGGTAACCACTGATGTTAGGCTATGCTGAAGTGTGTCTGTCTGGAACCCACTCTGTTTATTTGTACATAGTACACACAAGTGCACACATGCAACTGTAATGTAGGTCTTTATTCATTCTCACCTTCCAACCTGTTTCTTTTTTCTTTTCTTTTTTTTTTTTTTTTTTTTTTTTTTTTTTAAGGAAACAACTGATTTTCCTACAGCTCTCTGTCAAAAACATGGAGTTCACAATATAGTAAAATAACAGTTGAAACATATTGTTCTATTCTGTGAGGTCAAAAGACTAGAAGTTTGAAAGGCTTGACATAGCCTTGATTTGGTGAGAATTGCTCTATTTTGTTAACTTCACTTTTATGTGAAGATTGGGTGTAATTCTAAATGAGGACTATCAGTTTTATTTTCCTAGTTCTATGCATAGCTTCACCCAAATTCAGTTTTAAATTTCTATTTGTAAAATTTCTTTGGCAGACAGTTCTTTACAGCTGCACAGTTCTCCACTCCATCACATCCAGCAGCCCCCCCCCCCACACACACACATTGGGGATGCAGCCCATTGCCTTCTGAGTGCCTATTGCTCGGCCACTGATGCATCTCCAACCCCAGCTCTCTCTTCCTAACCACAACTCTTGCTCTGCTGAAAAAAAAAGCCAGAAAAACCTCAGGTTACCCACATGCATCATGCTTCAAGTCAGTATAACCCTGTACTGTGGAGAATAAATGAAAACCCTTGCTCAGGCAAGACCTTGCTAGGCAAGATGATGAGGCCATTTAAGGTGCTTAGCCTTGTGGGTAAGTGGCATTCATTGAGTGGCTGCAAATGCAGCCTAATAGAGGTAAGCTATTGTTACCTCTTAAAACTAAGTTAATGACTTAGTTTTAAGACCTGCCCTGTTGTTAGTGACAGCCCTTAAAAATGTAGTTAGGTTATGAATAATGCAAAAATCACTCCCCTTGGATTTCTTGTGGGTGGGCATTGTATCTTGGCAAGTCTGGTGTATTTGGAAACTGTTCAAAAATATTTTCTGTCTATTTGTAACTCAGATGCCAAGTCCAGAAAAGTACAAACTTCATTTTGTTCACTAGACTAACATAAAACAACATGGAACATTTGCAATTTGGTGGCTTGCAAGAGAGTTCTTGATTATATGATGCTTTATGGTATATTGAGGGATGTCTAGTCATCATTTATTTTTATAGTGTGGAGGATCAAACTCAACACGCCATATGTGCCAGGCCATTCTGTTGCTGTCACTGAGTTATTGGCTGCCCCCTCAAACCTTTTAAAACAAAAATTCCTCCTGGGGTTAGGGGCATGTCATGTCTATAAGAACCAGAACTGTAGGGTGTGAAAGTAGGATTGAGCCTCACAAGCTCACTTGTTTTGTCTCAAGTCCATGTCAGTGTAGGGTGTGACCAAGGGTAAAGCCATAATGAATCATGCATTCTGAACGGCACAATCAGGATTACCAGTGCAAAAACACAGAGTGTTCTTCTGTGCCAGAGATGTTTTCAGAGCTTCACACCTATTGCCAAAACTCAACTTGTTTCCTAGTTACCTGGCTGGTATGTGGGAATCACAAGTTGCCTATAAAAACACAGCAATAAATATGTGGTGTTAGATGTAGCGTTATGTTCCAGCTTGCCCCTCTCCTGCTGTAGTTTCTTTTCAGTGAAATTGTTTTGTTTCATTTGTCATGACGAACCTGACTTTTCCATCTATATGATTCCCATGTGGCAAAGTGGGATTCTTTGGAGATTTGACAGGACAGATCTGTGTGTGAATTCTCCCATTATATATTAATCCATGGAAGCTTCAAACTCCATGTCTTGTTTATGCTTCTAAATTAACTTTGATTATCCTTAAAAGGGCATTTCCTTGTTTCCAAGAGTAAAGCCTTATTTCTTCTTCTGTTTGCCTCCTCTCTGTAGAGATTAACCATTCCAAGCAGCTGCCCCAGGAGCTTTGCCGAGCTGTTACATCAGTGTTGGGAAGCTGATGCCAAGGTACTTTTGTTATTGTTCAAACTTCTGAAATTTTACCTGTTCGCTTTTGAGTTTTTCAAACTTGGTTCAACCAAAAAAAAAAAAAAAAAAAAAAAAAAAGTATTTCTCAATGACAGTGAATTGCCAAACATGTAAGATGTAAGTCCCAGGATGCCTGCTGCAGCCCTATGGTGACATCTCCATAGCTTAAGACCTCTAGATCAAATGACTATTATCAATTCTTCCTTCTTTTAACTGCACTCTCTGGCATTCTTGACTCAGAAGACAATTTTCTTCTTTTAGTTTTAATTGTGACCATTGCTCCTTATAAGAACAACTAATACACTATTCGCTATATATGAGGTTGTGTTTTGAGCACTTTCTATTAATTCTTGGATATAGGAGCTGATCTCTCCCTTGGCTCACAGATGGAGAGCCAAGGCACACACAGGTTAAACAACTAGTCAAGATCACATAGTTTGTACTAGTGGGGCTGGATATGAATCCAGACAGTCTACTCCATTACCTTTCTGTCTAGTGGAGGGGCAGGCAGAAGCTATACTTCTCTGGAATCCTTTATGTCCTCCCTGGGCAGATCCAAGGGTGTTTTTGAGCAATTACAATAAAACTGGAGAAATTCCACGCCTAGGCATCCATGCATTTATCACATGTGAGCATGGATGGCCAGTACCCTTTCCCCACAAAGGTTAGCTTCACAAAAACATCTTGGATACATATGGAAATATTTATGGATAAAATGATAGCTAGTCTTATATTTGCTTCAAAATAAAGTGACTGTCAAGCAATATTAATTAAACATGATTGGAAGTGATAACTTTTGAAGCTCAGGCATAGAATGTAGAGACAATATTTGTGGAGTACAAACTATGTGATCTTGACTAGTTGTTTAACCTGTGTGTATCTTGGCTCTCCATCTGTGAGCCAAGGGAGAGATCAGCTCCTATATCCAAGAATTAATAGAAAGTGCTCAAAACACAACCTCACATATAGCAAATAGTGTATTAGTTGTTCTTATAAGGCACAATGGTCCTAATTAAAACTAAAAGAAGAAAATTGTCTTCTGAGTCAAGAATGCCAGAGAGTGCAGTTTAAGGAAGGAAGAATTGATAATAGTCATTTGATCTAGAGGTCTTAAGCTATACTCATGTTTTTATAATAAAGGTTATCATCTTAAAACCAGTCTCATAGAGTAAATATTAAAACAACTGAGTTATCAAATTTAAGAAAGAAACAAAATTCATAATTCAAATTTGTCTAGTTTTTTTTTTCATGAAAATAGAGGCCTTAAAAAATAACAAACAAATCTAAAAAATATGGAATTCTTCTTTAATAGATACCCATTTCCAGTGAGAGCCCTTTGATGAATGGAGACAACAAAAGTCTGTTCTTGGGCAATGTGCTCCTTGGGTAGAAATGGCTTAGAGACAAACTGTCCATGTGGACAGATTCGTGGCAATTTGTTCAGAATATTTCTGCACGGAGAGCAAAGTACAGAGACACGGCAGCAAGAGCCTGCGTTGGGAAGCCTCCCGCCCACGGGTCTTGCCTCCATTCTGGGAAGACTTAGTTGCTGGGCTCTGCAGCCATAAGCATCCTGCCTGAGCCCTGGCACCCTGCAGCTTCCATCTTCCACTTCAGCTCTTTAGACATCCTGCAGCCTCTTTTCAAGTGATACCCTATAGAACTTGGTATTATTCTTCTTAAAGAATGTGTCATTTGGATTATTAGAACTTTTATTAGTACACTGTCAATGCTGCAGGAAGTTGAGTGTTCCTGCCCTACCCGTTTAGACCCTCTTATTTCCAGAATGTAGGGTTTTAAGTATTGAGCATTAAAAGAAATGTACACTTTACAACTAATTAGGTTAACCTATAAGCAGATCTTTGCAAGTTTACTTTCAAACATGTACTGTTTAAGTGTTACATATTCATTCCCTCTGCTTTTGTGTCTGTTAAAAATATACAATGATTTTTAGTAGTGTTTTTCTCTCTCATGCTTAGTTAGAAATTTCACCTGAAATTATTTGCATTCAATTAGATTAATGCAACCAGATCTCTAGAATTGTAATCATACTTCAGTATGATTTAATTTCTCAGTCAAAAACTTGATACTATATTAGTTAAAATCCTAAGAATGTACACTTAAATTTGGTACACTCGTGCACTGAAGAATTTAAACCGAGAGCAATACCTATAAAACTGGCATGTCTTTAACATATAAGAAGGTGAACCTTCTTTAGGACCAAAAGAGTCTTATGTTCCAGCCACATGAAGTATTATAAAATTTGAAACTGATTTTTGTTCCCTAAGTTTATGACACTTTATTCTGATAAAAGTGCTCCAAACGATGGTATTTGATTTGATTGGACAGTGGCTACCGCTCACCCTTCAGTCTTCACACGCTAACCTGCAGCACACCTCACACACTTTACTCCCTGAGCACATTCTTTCTCCAGTAATACTCCACTGAGTCTTCCCTGACTCCAGACTCAGATCAGTCTGGATTACTGCCCTAGCTTGTATGGTGATATCCTTCCTTGTTAAATGGATTGCATGTCCTGTGAGGGAGGGAGTGTGTGTGTGTGTGTGTGTACATGGAGAGAGAGAGAGAGAGAGAGAGAGAGAGAGAGAGAGAGAGAGAGAGAGAGAGAGTTCCTATAGCTCTTTGCAGCAATAGAAAGTGGATGCAGAAACCAGACCACAGTAAATTTTCTGAGAGATATATTTTCATTCTGTGACTCAGAGTAGGTGCTGTCCTATGCTTTATGGAGAGCATTAGTGGGTTAAAGTATTTTATCTCCTTTTTCAGTCCTTAGACTTTAAGAGTATTAACACTTAGATTATATTATGCAGATTCCCTGTTGGGCTGGTGTTTTCCTGCAGTGAAGAAGAGAGACATATAGGGAAATGTGGCATTGTATAATGACAGAGCATCCTGCTGGCCTAAATCATATGCTCAAAATATTTTATTGGAGTTGGGAGTTGGAAGTGTAACTTAGTAGAATGTTTGCCTAATATGCACAAAGCCCTGGGTTCAAGCCCCAGCCCTGTGTAGACCATGTATGGCTGGTCATGCCTGCAATTCCAGCATTGGGGAAGTAGAGGCAGAGGATTAGAAGTCTACTTAGTAAGTCCAAGACCAACCTTGGATGTTCAAAACCTATCTCGATAATTAAAGTGTGTGTGTGTGTGTGTGTGTGTGTGTGTGTGTGTGTGTGTGTAAATAAGGAAAGAAACGTGCGTATTGGATTTTCATAAAATGACATCCCTGGAGCTGATAATTAGGGAGGGGTTGGTGTCATATTCTATGAGATAAAATTTGAAGTTTAAAAGCATAGCCCAGGTTCTGTGACCATCTCCCTATGTAATGATATATGCCTTTCTGAACTAGTTGTCCTATGTATGAAATGGAAATAGCAAATAGAGAGGGAAGTTGTGAAGATACTTTATAAGTAGTCCTGGTTGTGACTTCATTTTAAGATAAGCAATCTGTACAGGACACTCCAAAGGCACCCAAGCCCTTCAGAAGAGCAGCCATAGGTCCTAGCACACTAAAACCTTCACTGCAGAATTCTACATTGTAGATCTCCTGGGCTCTGGTAATCCTCCTGCCTCAGCCTCCCAAATAGCTGGGACTACTGAAATGCATTACTGCAGCCAGTTGTGACTACATCTTAACTTCTTGTCCTGTTGATGTAACAGAGTAGAGTCTGCGATGGTAAGAGTGTTTCTAAATGGTGTAAGAGAGTGGAGTTTAACTGTGATGGTAAGAGTTTTTTAAAAGGGATGCTTGTCATCTGAATATAAAGGAATTTCATTTGATTTCAAGAATAGTTAAATGTAGGAGGAAATAAGTCTTTAAAAGTTTTTCAGGTGGGCTGGGAATGCAGCTCAATTAGTAGAATGCTTGCCTAGCCTGCACAAGGCCCTGGGTTCAATCCCCTGCACTGTATGAACAGTGTGTTGTACACCCTAGCGTTTGGGAGGTAGAAGAAAGATCGGAAGTTTGGAGTCATCCTCAGCTACAGAACTGGAGACTAGCATAAGAGCCCTGAGACTAGGATTGTTGTTGTTGTTGTTGTTGTTGTTATTTTAAAGGGATCACTACCTCCTGTGGCTACCTTTCCTTGCAAAATGAAAATCTTATGTTTCCTGTGTTTATTTTATAATCAGTTCTTGTGCAAAGTTCTGCTTCTTTTTTTTATTTAAAACCCAACACATGGTGGGTGACATGAAGATAGGAACAAAGTTTAAAAACACAGGCTTCTTTTCATGTGTCCCAGTTAAAGCATTTCTCTTTGTTCATCAGTAACATTTAACTGTGCATGCTTTCTTCACACGCCATTTGCGTATGCACACACACGTGCATGTGCTCTTAAAACAGATGAAGACAGAAGTCAATAAATATCCTCGTTTTATATTTCTGAGCTTTGGGAAAGGGTTTTTTGTTAATGATGTCAGAAGCACCCAGACCCTGAGAGCAAGCCACCTTGACACTGTTCCTTCCTGTTTTGTGCTCCTAAATTAAAACGCGTGTTTTAATTGCTGTAGCTGTAATTTGTTCTGAAATGGTGTAATTATGAGGCATGATGAGGAGAGAATGTGCATCATCCTTTTATTATCATTCTCCATTTTTGTTTTAACCTTTTGTCTCAGCCTTGGCTGGAGTGGAAAGAGGTGAACATAGACAGTGCCTGTTGAAGACAGACCGAGCATGCTTTTTTCAGTTGCTGCCTACAACGTGTTACAGTGTCTTGGACCAAAGCTGGCTTCAGTGTGGGATAAACCTTGAGAACAATGATGTCATTGTGGCTTTAAATTTTTTTTCAAACCAATGGCTTTGGGAAAGCCCAAAGTAGTTCCAATAGGTTGGTAAGCAGATACTGCACACCCATGCACATTTTATAAAAATGGTGGGGGGGAGGAATGGAAACATTTGTGTAGTAAACAGCAGGATATTCCTAGTGCATAGTCTAGTTTTCACTCTCTCTACCACATAGTAAGGTCATTAATGGCTTAAGGTTCCTTATAGGCGTTCTTGGTCATATCTCAAAATAGGACTTGATACCTCTCTCCTTATCTGATGCCATGTTGTTGAAAGAAATTCAACACATCTATCCTTATGGATAATTAATTGCAGATGAAGAATTTGGCACCCTACACCTGTGTGATCTGATGTTATAACCACTAAGTCAGAACCCTGTCGTGTTTTTGTTGGTCGTGGCTATACTTCCTGTCATGTTATTTCTTAAGTCTCATGGCAGTTCCCTTTTCTCTTCTTCAGAAACGGCCGTCATTCAAGCAAATCATTTCAATTCTGGAGTCCATGTCAAATGACACGAACCTTCCTGACCAGTGTAACTCATTCTTGCACAACAAGGCAGAATGGAGGTAGGTAGCTCCAGCATGAGGGCCAGCCCAGCGATGTGAGCCAGATACCTGATGGGCAGTCCTGAGATTTATAACCTTGCATTTGTATGGAAGCAAGAATTTCTCTATATTTGTTGTCTTAGCATGCATCTAAGTATTTGGGGAGAGTATTGAATCGTGTATTCTGAAACAAAGGACATTTCCGGATGCTTCTCTGTACAGTTTCTTTGTTAGGAAGCTTTAGCCTCTGTCCAAAAAAAAAAAAAAAAAAAGAATAAAAAAAAAATAGATCTGTATTGTGTTAGCCTTGCCATGTGCAAAGTGCTGTATCTGCTACTGCTGAGAGTGGGAAACCCTATGAAAACACATTAGACGTTATAATCCTAGCAAAACAAATCAGTAAAGAAGGAATTGTATTGTGTAAGTGGAAAAAGTAAATCCAAGTTGAAACAGTTGGACCAGGTCGAATGACGCAGGGAATATAAATAGCCTGTTTGGGAGCTGGACGCTGTTCCTCCCCTGACTCAGCAGAGATCTGAAGTAACTTCATCCCTGCTCCTGTATTCATGGCAGTAACGCAATGCCCTACGCCATCTGCTGGTGCTAAGTCAGTACTGCGTGCACGTGGAGAGCCACTGGATCTTGACTCCTGTCAGTCAGTACATATAACCATGGGCTTTCTGTTTGATTGATATTTTACAATAACCTTACTTATTCTTATTTTTTTGAAATTGCTATCTAATACCAGTCACTTTCATGAATTTTTCTTGGCAATACAAAGTAAAAGCAGTGAGCTCCCATCTAGAGCTGAGGGCTTTTTTTTTTTTTTTTTTTTTTTCTGGTCTAAAATAACTAACAAAACCCTGCTGTGACATTGTTTCCTACAGTAACAGGTCAGTGCACATGTAATCATATCACTCCCCCTCAAACTCCATATGTGAGTTCCACTGTTCTTCAGACAAAGACAGAAACGCTTGCCATTCAGAAGACCAACTATCTTGAGCATGGCTGAGCTTCAGGCTTTTAGAGACACGCTTCTGTCTTACCAGAACCTCTGCAATGCAGGCTCCTTTTTATAGCCACTCTGTTTGCTGCACATTCCTCTTGTCCCACCTCCCACAGCTCCCATTAGCCATCTAGGCACTGCTGACCTAGGTCATCTGCAAGGGAGCAAACTCCACTCCCTGACAAGGTGAGTGCCACAGAGCTCTGAGATCACTGTATCAATCTGTGTCACCACTGGTGTGGTAGAAAAGCAAACTTTTTTGTGTATTCCTGTCTCCATGACAGAAGCAGGAGCTGGTAAAGCATTTACAGTGAAATCTGACCCTCTGATCTGAGTGTATAATGCAGGGGTTCTTGGAGGAAATGCTATTTGATCCATTATCCGAAGGATTAGGGGGATTTTAAAATCGAGAGTACTGGTATGTTTGAGATAGTGTTCTTTAAGTGTAGCAACAAAGAAAACAAAGCAAAGTTAGTAAATTTTCTGGAAAAACTTTGAAATTTCCTATATCCCAAAATAATACCCACCCTAAATAAGTTTGCAAGAGAAATGGCATACGGTTATAACTTTCTTCCCTTGGTAGATTAGAGTGTCTCAGCTATTTGGTGCCTCACATTCACTGTGTGTGTGCATGGGGATGGTATATGCATGTGTGTGTACAGGTGCCCTAGCGATAAATACTGGATCCACTGCCAGAGGCCCCATAGACTGCCCAGGCCTCCCAACTGACGCCCACATTCAGGGGACCTGGTCCAGTCCTATGCTGGTTCCCCAGCTATCAGACTGGGGTCTGTGAGCTCCCATTTGCTCAGCTGTTTCTGTGGGTTTCCCCAGCAATGTCTTGACCCCCTTGCTCATCACTCCTCCCTCTCTGCAACTGGTATTGGGTACTCCAAAAAACTTGAGTTAATGAGTCATATCTGACAATATTTATTACATTAAAAATAGAACTGAAAATTTACATTTATCAATTCATTTTTAAAAAACAGTATATTCATGCTGCTGTAGAGATGGCTCAGTGACTCTTTCAGAGGACACAGTTAGTTCCCTGTACTCACACCAGGAGGCTTAGAACAGATTGTAACTCCTGCTTCAGGTGACCGGACGCCCTCTTTCGGCCTCTTTGGGCCCCCACACATGTGCATACATGTTCAAACGGGTGCATACATACATACGTAAAAAATATTTTTAAAACAATGATTCTGCCCTCAGCCCATGGCCCATATGTCATAAAACATCTAGAAAATTACATGTTCTTTTGAGAGAATAAGAGTAGAAAAGGCCAATTCTGCCATAGTGCCATCTTGAAAACCAGTTAGGCCTGAAGAGTCCTCTGAAATGCTCTCCTGGATCCCCAAACATACTACAGTTATTACCTTTTTCTTTTCTTTTCTTTTCTTTTCTTTTCTTTTCTTTGTTTTTTGGCTTTTTGAGACAGGGTTTCTCTGTGAAGCCCTGGCTGTTCTTGAACTCGCTCTGTAGACCAGGCTGGCCTCAAACTCAGAGATTTGCCTGCCTCTGCCTCCTGAGTGCTGGGATTAAAGGTGTGCATCACCACCGCCTGACCAGTTACTACCCTTAAAGCAGCATCTTAATGAAAACAGCATTCTAATGGGCATGAACAGGCTTCCACAAGAAGAAACTGATGAGTACTATCATCAAGTCAAATGATGATGCTGATGAGGCGTGGGGAAAGGAACCCTGACTCACTGCTGGTGGGTAGCAAACTTGTGTGGCCACTGTGGGAGTCAGTGTAGAGTTCCTCAAAAGGACACAATGAGGACTTCCACACCATGACCACAGCAACTCTTATATGCAGAACCTGAGTTTAAAACACACACATGCAAAGTGCATGCAGGTGTTGGTGCATGTGTGTGTGTATGTGTGTGTGTTTGTAAAGCTGGCTGAGTAGGATGTGTCTGTAATCCCCCTGCTGCGAAGCCAGCGACCATGGTACACACTGGCCAGCCAGCCTAGGCAGATTTGTGAGTTTCAAGTTCAATGTGTGACCCTATCTCAATAAATAAATAAATAAATAAATAAATAAATAAAGTGAGAGAGATTGAGGAAAATACCTAACATCATCCTCCTGCCTACACACGTGTATACATACATGTACACTCACATGCATATACCTGTGCATACTCACAAAACAGATGCTAGACCACAATACCACACACACATATACACAAAATAAAATTATATGTGTATATGTGTGGGTGGCAGAGCTGAAAAAAGGATTCCTGGCAGGGAGGAAGAATTCTGAGCTGGGTGGGAAATAGAAAAGGCCACAGAATACATGCGGGGGTTAGCTGGGAGGGCTAGCGCTTGGAGGGGACTGTGGAACAGCGGGACGAGTAAGAACAGAGTACAACGATTCATACAGGAAAATGCCATGATGCAACTCATTCTTTTCCATGCTAACCTAAAGGCGGTCAAGTAGCTAATCAGCATGTGCTAATATCAAACTTCACTTAACAAAGAAATAAATAAAAGGAAGAATAACTTATTTATCAGATTTTCAAATTCTCACATTAGAAATTAAGTGGTGCTAATAGGCTTTCTCGTGCATTTTTTTTCCAGTGCAGTTAGATGCCCTAAAAATGTATAAATGCTTTGCCCAGGAGGTCCTACCACTATGACTTTATTGCAGAGCAAACCATTGGGAAAGCTCTTACAGAATGTACGGGTGCTTGTTCAGACAGCCCCGTTCAGAATGCCAAAGCTAGGAACAGAACTTTGTGTAATAAAAGAAGAGCGACTTTCAGAAACAGTGTCCCCACAGCCAGAATGACCCACCCGTGAGTCCTGATCAATGGATCTGAGAAGTGACTTTAAAATGGAGGCTACAGTCTCATTTATTCAGAACAATAGAATTTTTAAAAATAAAACCAGTACATATTAATGTGTGTGTATAGGCACATCAGGGAGACAGTGGGTCACTGGGTAAAGGTGGATTTCTGTTTGTCTTTTTTTTTTTTTTTTAACTTCTGCATTAGGTCTGGATTAACTGAATGGTAAATGTAATGTTTAAAATACTTCAAGGTGAAGCTAGCTAGAGCAGTACATGTCTAGAGACCTCCCTACTCAAGAGGGTTAAACTAAAGGATCACAAGTTCAAGTGCAGCCTGGGCAACATAGCAGAACCCCATCTCAACAGCAAACATGGACAAACAAATCCCACACCTTCAAGGTGGGAAATTAAGAGAACTTATAGTAAAGAAGGGGGGGGGGGATGATCAGTGAGAGAGCTTTCTCAGGGCTTCTTGAGAGCTGCAAGGTGTGTGCCTCACCTGAGCCATCAAAACCAGTTGGAGACTGCAGAGCTATGGTAACTGACCTTGACAACTGGTTAAAGCCACAGGGGACGATGGTTATAATACTAATAAGCAGCTACTGTTTGTTAGGCTCCTCCAGATAACCATTTGGGGTTATCTTTCTTAATCCCCATAGCAACCCAATCAGATCCCAGGAGCTAACATCTATTGGAGGCCTCAAAAGCTTGGGTAACTTGCCTGACCTTATACCGTACTGTGATGGAGCCAGGATGAGGCCCAGGTGCTGTGACATGGGACTACGGCCATCGGTCATGCCAGCTGCGCATTAACATGCAGTATACTTTTTGCCTGGTTTCTTTTTAGCTCAGAAGCAAATTGTAGGGTGTGATCATTTTAGGTTATCAGTCAAGTCAAAAAGCTGCCATTCAGGGCACCACATGCCAAAAACAATGCGGTGGGTTTTCAGATCACCTGGTAGTCAAAGGATAAGAACTTTGTGCTGCTGAGCACTTTGCCCCAACTTTTGACAGGGTCCAAAGACTTTCAGCAAATGGCAGTCACAGTGAAGTGTGAATCCAGGCACACTGGAGAACTTGCAAACGATGGCCTCCTGCTCCAGCTTTCTCTCTGTGCAGGCAGACAAAACCCCGAATTCTGAAAATGAAATGATTCTGAAAGTCCTCTGTAAAACTAGCTTAGTAAAGGCTACTTAACAGAAACAGAGCAAGCATCAGACTCAGTTCATCAAATCCCTGGCTGCCCCTCCCCTTGACAAAGGAGCAGCCGGAGCAGGACCTGTGTCCCGATGTTTCTGCTGTCAGCTGTTGCCTCCTGCGACTGTACAAACATGCTGCAGGATGCATGAATGAGCTAAAGGGTTGAAATGGAGCATCCAGGCCTTGCCTGTTAGCAAAACACTTCGTTAGTTGTTTTTCCGTGGTGACCAAAGCATTGTCGCCATGACATGCCTTTTGCAAACAAAAAGCAGAGACCAAAAATGTAATCTTTGCCATTTGAGTATTAGGACCCATCACACATTCATACCACAACTTACATTTCTACTTAACATGTAATATATAAGCCATATGGATTTTTTTTCATATTGACCTGTAATTTCTCAGTGAATCTGTCTAACGAGAGAAGAATAATTGCAGTTCATTGCCTGGAAAGGGAAATTTGATATTAGTTGAAATCACTCTTAGCTGGATTTAGTTTGAGAGAACCAGTTTTCACCAGCTGAAGTTTAAGAGCTGGAAGGTTATATATAAATGCATTAGCAAGTGTGTATGATGGGGAGTGACGCACCTGTCAAGACAAAGGAAACCACAAAGGGGGTGATGTCTTTCTGTCCTTGGGTTCTCTCTCAAGGCATTCAAGAGGGAGCAATGCTGGGAAGCTGAGCCTGCAGGACAAACGAGGGGAGGGTATCTTCCCAGTCTCTGTCACAGCTCTTGGCTTACTTAACTGTTAATCTATTTTCTAGAGGGGCTCAAAATCACAGTGGGCTCCCTGGCTGGAATTTGAGATGAGGCCTGGATTTAATTACAAGCAAAACAGACTCTGTTGGTCATTTATCCTTATGGAAAGACCATGCTCAGTGGGATCAGTCTCACTGGAGGAACAGTTAGGATAGGCTCATCAAGTGTCACACAAACAAGTGGCCCAGGCCATCCACCAAGGATGACACGCTCTGTGACCTCTTTGTTACTCTCTGACCCTCTCAGGTGGCTCAAAGTGGCTTGTTCGCTTTTGTCATGGACATTTAAATTAGGTTTTCACACTGAGTTTTTTCTCTTCAATCCTCCATTTGAACAAACTTGTTTGTAAATTGGTATAATATTTTTCTCAGAAATATTGAGGAGTAAACTTGGATTTTATGGTAAAGTCATAATTGTAAAAATTTTCCGCTTTTGTATCTTTTCTTGGAACTGCACTGTGACCTCAAACTCCCTCATGGTTTGTCTCATGGCCCCAGTGAGAGAGCCTGCACTGTAACTTTTGTATGCTGAGGGACTTTTCATAAAGCTTCGGTTTGAATGCTGACACACCTCCCACTTCCCCTTGAGTTGGGCAACTCAGTTTTCATCCTTAAGGAGTGGAATGCGATGTCCACTTACTCTGACTCTCCCTGGAAACACAGGGCAGGTTTTGCTTAGGTATATGCATTAGCTGAGCTCTGGGGGCCCATGCTTTCCGTCCACACTCGGGGTCTCACTGCGATGATGTGATGTGTGGTGCAGATTGCCTCAGCAGCTAACCACAAAGTCCTTTCAGGACACCAGTGGTGCTGTCCTTTAGCCTTCCTGCCTTCCTTTGCATGCTTCTCTGCACCCCCCACCCCACCCCACCCTCTCATCTCTCATTACGTGGCACGGCTGGTGTGCAAGCTCTTCAGAAACCCAAGGAAGAGAACTTCCAGTTCTCAGAGCATAAATTTAGACATTAACACTGTGACAGCCCTGCAGGAGGAAAAGTTTGTGCCGAGCCATCTTGCCAGTTTCAGTTTCTGTAAAGAACAGTTTCTATTACTGTGCACAGTGTCCTAAGTGGCCTAGACATGATGGAAGGAACTTCCTTTAAAATTAGAGTCTAAAAGAAACTCGGAATTTTTCTGGACTGAATTATCTCACGCCTGCTAGATTATAAAACTTATTTGTATGGGATTCCTGTGTGTACAGATGTGTTTATCTTCACATCTATGTGTGTTTCTTGTGCCTTTTCTTTGGCTTTTGTTTTGTTTTGTGTTGTCCTATTCTAATTTGCTTTGTTTTGTTTTATCTTATTTTATAATTATTCTTTAGATGCTTGTTTGTTTTCTAAGGAGAGACAGAAAGGGTTTGGATTTGGATGGGCGGGAGGAACCTCAGAGGAGTTAGGGGACAGGAAACCATAATCAGAGAATATTGTATGAAAAAATGTGGTTTTTGTCTGGTGTTTCAAGGCAGGGTTTCTATCTTACAGAACTGGCTATCCTGGAACTAACTCTGTACACTAGGTTGATCTTAAACTCACAGAGATTTGCCTGCCTCTGCTTCCAGAGTGTGAACCACCACTGCCTCTCCGTGGGCAAGAATGCCAGCCCAGTAGCCTATTACACAATCTGTGTGCTGTTTTCCAGCCACCCATCTGATCCACAGATCGGTACCCATTTCTGGGGCTGTTGTAAAAGTAGATTGAGAGGTGCTTTGTGAGCTGTAAAGCTTCATAAACTACAAGCAGGTACTAAATGGCTAGCCCACGATGACAGCTCTCAACTTGTCCTGCATAATTCCCGGCCACTCAGTGCTTTGTTGAAATGCTCTTGAGTTTCTTTCTCCCTACTAGAAACTTCCTGTTGATTCCGAACGATAAGAAAGAGCCCTGCTTCTTTGGTCGGTCGGTTCCTGGCCAATTTCAAAGCCCGCACCTTCGCTTTTCATCTGGTTAGCGCTCCACTGGACCCACTGAGTATCCGCAGGCTCACCAGAGTGGAGACTCACTGAGTTATCTCTCTGCAGGTGTGAAATTGAGGCAACCCTTGAGAGGCTGAAGAAACTAGAGCGAGACCTCAGCTTTAAAGAGCAGGAGCTCAAAGAAAGGGAGAGACGCTTGAAGATGTGGGAGCAGAAGCTGACCGAGCAGTCCAACACCCCGGTGAGTACGCCACCTAGTGGTTTCCTGCAGCACTCGGAAGCCTGGCTGAGCATGGCAGCAGGGCTAATTCTTCCTCCCGCTCTTCCCTGCCCTGCTCCTGAGAATTAAAGGCCTACGTTGATAGTAAAGAATATAAAACATATTTAAAGGGAAAAGTCCTATTTAAGAGAAAACTCTCTCCTTCTAGATCTTTCCTAAAGAACTGCTGTTCTCTCAGTGTGTTTGTATGTTCAAGTTACTAGAATAAAATCTAAAGTGTTTTTGGACACTTTAGTCCTCATAACACTGTTGGGTTGCTGCTGTTTGGCATTGCACTTAGAGGCCATCAGTAATTAATAACTACAATTGCAAGGCAGCCAGGAATATTTGGGTGTGTCAGAACTTAACCACATTTTCTTTCTAAGATTGAGCTGGCTTGCTGACAGTGATGACAAGCATTAATATTCCTTATTAATTTAGTACTGTGATTATGAGCAGCATAAAATGGGGAAAGGGCTTCTCTTGGGACAGGAAGCCGGTTTGCTCTACCTCTAGGAAGATGTTTCCCAAGTCCAGGGGAGCCCTGGCTCTTTATCTTCTAACCTTGAGCTTAGGCTGTATGTTCAATTTTAGATAGTTTTATCATCCTTCTAAATTTTAAATAAGAGTTACTTTCAAAAGGCAAGAAAAGGTTAGGATTGGTTTGTCTAGGATTTTCACTGGGCAGTATCTATCCATTTCAAACCACAAGAAAGGAGAGATTAAAAATGAAGTTATTGACAAATAGATCAAGTAAAAAGTTAACTACCCTTCTCTTTGTGTTCCACAAAGGCATTTCCTATCTAGACAAGTCTTAGTCTCCTCTGGGCAGCCTGAGACCGATTGCAAAATGTCTTCCCATGTCTAAAGAACAGAAGAATCTGTCTCTACTTCCAATTCCTATGAAGAAGCAATCTGATGTCCCCTCACCCCCCCCCCAAAAAAAGAGGCTGCCCCTTAATGTTACAGATTTACCCCTTTCCAAAAATGCCTTTGGTAATCCCAGGAATCCCAAGGAGAGAATTGAATTGCTGTACACAGGACTGTCACGAGATAGTAAAAGGGTGCCTCACTTTTGTTAGTGAGTCCCGTGAATTTAACCAGACTCTCAAGGAAGGGGTAAAGGAGCGAGTTCCCTGTGCAGACTGAGTTGGAGCCAGCCGGGTGCAGCACCCAGGGCTGGTGAAAGGGGGCAGATGGGAGCAGTGGCAGAATGCAGCCATGCCCCTGGAGCTGAAGGCTGAGGGCTGTTTTGTTTTGTTTTGTTTTGCTTTTTAAGTGTATTGAAACCTTAACTGTGTAAAGCACCGCATGGCTTGACTCCCTCTAAATGCAGTATTGTCAGGGAAACTTTCAGCCGCCTATTAGAGTATGCTTTAGAACCTTGCCTCGGCTTATTGGCATCAGTTTTGCTAAGAAATTATGGGCTGCCTTGCACATATTATTGCCGCTGGTAACACAGTCATGGATTAAAGAATAAAACCCTACAGATGCTTAGTAGGTTGTATCTTGCATTTTTAACTCCAGAAAACTTAAAGCCGGTGCTTTGCGGGCGGGCCACCAGCTAACAATGGACAGCATGGCACACAGTCTCTGCACGGTTCCCTCCCTCTTTACTTATGAGGCCTAAGTTTTTCCTTTGTTTATAATTCTTGCTTTCAACGTCTAGAGCCGGTATTTCTAAGGGAAAGGAGTTTGTGCTCAGGTATTTGATGAGCAGCTGTTTTCTTTTATCCTCACTTCAGTCTCTAGTTGGCTTTAAACTTGACTGCTGGGAACAAGAGAAATCTTTTTAAAAGAGGCAAAACTGGGCTTTTTTTTTTTTTTTACAGGTGGCTTCACCTTGAATATAACAGTCTAACATTTGCACAACTGCATAAAAATACCATCCAATTGATTTCGGGGGTACTATTTTTCCTCCTAAAACTGAGACGTTGAAGATGTTGGAAAGACGAGTGCTTTGTGCATAAATAGGGATGATACTTACTTCTAATTATTGTTGTAGCTTGCTGTAAAAAAAAAAAATTTAGAGATAACGTCTTTTTTGAGAAATATTATGGAGCTCTTTAGAGGCTAACATAACGTGAGAAAAAAACCTTGGCAATAATTAAATAAGCAACAAAGGGTTCCTTGGAGCTTCTACCCATAGAAAACCAACTTGAGAATTGGAGAAGGGTGGCCATAGGGAGTGAGACTCTGAGGCTGACTGGACCACATGACCTTGACACAGAACCCACAATGCCAAAGGTCTCTGCTAATAGGATGAGCTGGTTTTTGAAAACTGAGCTCCGACAGTAACTTGAATTAGAAGACCGGGCCATCAAGATGGTTCTGTGGCTAAATGTACTTGCCAATTCACGCCTGATAACCCAAGCTGATTCCCTGGAACCCACAGGGGTAGGAGAGAACTGAGCCCCCAAGATTGTCCTCTGGCCCCCACACATGCACCTGTAGTACTCATATGCCTGCGACAATAGTGGATACGTTTTTTAAGTTCTTAAAATTAAAAAAAAAAAAGGTCCTATTTGGTGCCTTCATGCTCAGAATGTAAAGTACATCCAATACTTTATTTGTGCGTTATCATAGGTTCATACATATGAAGCCACCTTTATTTGCTTAGTTCTCAAAAGATGATATTAAAAAATTTATATCCTGACAGTTTTACCATAAAAGAAATAGAAGCAGACATTGTGGATTAGGTTGGTGTTGAAAGGAAGAAAATGAACTCATAAACAGACCCTCCATTGAAAGGAGACTTGGGTATTAGTGGCTACAGCAAGGAGATAGTCTAAGTGAATCCTAGGCAGTGATCACCCAGTTTCCATGGCAGAATTTATCCCCAGGTGAGTTATATATGAACTTGAATAAATTAAACAGCGTGGGATCTAGCTAGAGTCCAGTAATGAAAGCAGGCAGGTAAAGTGGCCCACAGAGTGTGCTCAGGGCACACTAGCCTTGGGAGAGAGACAGAGTCACTGAGCTCCCCACGCGGACGGACACACAGCCTGACTGCTTCTGCCCTTCCTCTGAGCTCTTCGTTGGGACAGGGTTTCTGAAATTTTTTGACTTGGGATTTAAACTCTGCTTCATTTCTTCTCTTTTTAATTAACGTAGTGGTTAATCAAGTGTTTCTATATGGAAATGAAATTGGGAAAAATTAAGAGACATCCTAAACACTATTTCGTTTTAAGCGAAGCAAGGACCCAGAACTGTCCATTTGGCTCACTGTGGTGCTTTGCAAGCTTTCAGATTTGATTTACTCTGTCATTTATAAAGTATAGTCCATATACTGGCGCCAGATCTGCCATTCAGTATGTTCTCATCATTCACCTCCTGTGTAGCACCAACTGATGTTGTGGTGTCTGTCCCCTGGTTTAAATTGGTACTAATTTCTCTTTTCACTTCTGTCCTTTCTCCCCCTCTGATAGCTTCTCTTGCCTCTTGCTGCAAGAATGTCTGAGGAGTCTTACTTTGAATCTAAGACAGAGGAGTCAAACAGTGCAGAGGTGTCATGCCAGATCACAGCAACAAGTAACGGGGAGGGCCATGGCATGAACCCAAGTCTGCAGGCCATGATGCTCCTGGGCTTTGGGGATGTCTTCTCAATGAACAAAGCAGGAGCTGTGCTGCATTCTGGGATGCAGATAAACATGCAAGCCAAGCAGAATTCATCCAAAACCACATCAAAGAGGAGGGGGAAGAAGGTCAACATGGCCCTGGGGTTCAGTGACTTTGACTTGTCAGAAGGTGATGATGCTGATGATGGGGAGGAGGAGGATAATAATAGTGAATGATGGCAGAAAGTAATAAAACTGAAATTTTTTTAATGGAAGAAATGTATTATCTCAGTCTGTGCAAAAAGCAGCATAGGAAGGCAAGCACCGAGTACTGCGCCTTAGGCCATGCTCACCAAGGGCTGTTCCCTCATCCGTGTGACTTTACTTTTGCATTCAGAAAAGCGAGGCAAGGGAATCAAGCTAAAGGCATATTTATTAGCAAGTGTGGTGCCTGGTTATAGAAACGTGTGATCATCTACATACTGTGTCCTTAAACTAATGACATTTGTGCCTTTCCTCTTTGAAGTGCATACTTTGTAGTTTGTGTTTGACTGTTTTATTCCCTTCACTCACTCCGTTGGGGAAATATCCATTTGAAACAAACTCTATTCTAATTCCACTAAGGTCCTTCCTTGTACAGTACATTATAATGGTGGAGGTGATGGATGACTATAAAAAAACAGCCACATTTAAAAAAAAAAAAAAAAGGCTGAGATGAAAGGAGATTATTAAAAAATGCTTCTTCAGAAATACCTAAACGCCAACAAATTTACGAACCAAATAGCACACAGCTCCTCAAAGTAAAACCCAAGTGGTGGTATTCTCTAGTGACACTTGAAGGGGAAATTCTCTGGGTTTGAAGCAAGCAGCAGACGTCACTAGCTTGCATCCCCCATGCTGGCTGGAAGCATCCTTACATGAACACACTTTCACCCTAGGCTTAGCTTGTGCTTTACACAGAAGCAGGATGTGTCTAGGCATGAGCAGGCCTAGCACACACCTGCTCTGTACTTCCAATAGAGCACTCTGTTACTTTGTTTCCCAGGGGTACATATATTAATATTAGATTTTAAGCTATATGCAGGAAAAATAAACACTATAAATAGGGAAGACAAGTTACTTTAGACACAAGTGTGTTATAAAGGGGTCTTTCTGTTAAATGTAGCCATACAATGTTACCCACCCACCCCACCCTGTATTTCCTTTTTACTGAGTGCTGTGATGCTGGTTTGAGAAATAGATTCAGGTGCTACTTACTATGAAGGCCAGGCTACCCAGAGACACTCTTAGAAGACTAGTTTATCTATCAAAACCTATTTAAGCTATAAATACCTACAAAATCACAACTAGATAAAGACAAAACAAAACTCTTTATCAACCTAACTCAGACACATTGTCATTCACTTGACATAAAAATGAACTAGT